TTATCTATAGCTACACTGAACCCCTCCATGATAAAAGAGTTTCATACGTATAAAAGTGGTAGGACTGCGAGTTATTTTGCGAGGGTGCACTCAGGCTGAAGAACATAATGATCCGCCCGGCAGGATAGACCCGTAAAATGCAAGTTTCACGGTGGCGTTGTCTAGACAACTCACTGTGCTTTTAGTGAAATTATACACCCACACTGATCTCTCGATTAGTCGCCAAACAGAAACATAATACCGTATATACTTCACGCGGACAAATCAGTCACACAGGGCAAAAATGTATGTGACCAAACGCCGCAGGCCAACAGACACTGTGCGGGTCGCCCGGTCCAGTCCTCCAGTACCAAAGCTTCCCAGACTAGGGTCCGTGAAATTTTTTTTTTCATCCTCTTCGCTCCGACATTGGAGCAGAGGGCTGTTTCTCAGTTCAGTGATCATTTTTAACAGACGGTAGGGCTCCTTGGACGGGTGATCAGCTCGTCGCAAGGCCTCTACCTAAACACAGGACAACGCAGACACAGAATAAACGTATACACACACCAAACATCCATGCCTTGTGTGGGATTCGAACCCACGATCCCGGTTTTTGAGCGAGCGAAGACAGTGCATGCCTTAGACCGCGCGGATACTGTGACCGGCAGTGGACCACTTTGTTCTATGCGAAATATTTTACGCCGTTAGTGGAGGAAATGCGTAATGGTAGTAATAAACGTATGTCTGAAGAAAGCAGTCTTCTGGGATTTGGCACCGTGTATATGTGGTGTTAACCGACGTTTCGGAAAAAAAGTATCGCTTCCATCTGCAGGGCAGAGAAATCCGCGAGCGAGGAAGTAGCGTGAGCAGGTGGCTGCAGCTGCAACTCACGCTGATTCCTCGCTCGCGGATTTTTCTGTCCTGAAGATGGAGGCGATACGTTCTTCCGAAACGTCGGTTAACACCACACATACACGGTGCCAAATCCCAGAAGACTGCTTTCTTCATAGTCACCGCCGTGAAAGCCTCAAATCTTACAAATGTATGTCTGTTCTATTTGTCTTTTTAACATACATTTTAATTTATCGACAGACTATTTCAATTGCATTGTTCAGATGTAATATTATACAGGCATCATTTTCTTTCATAACAGTAATTATCTGTACACTACATAACATCACTCAGGACGTTTAACTATGTGATCTCAGTCAAGTGGATACCTGTAAGAGAAAAATGAAATACATATAGACCCTAATTGTCTTGTTGGTAATTTAATGGACCTGTAACAATTACTCCGGGAATGTAGATCGAATTAAAGTAAAACTGTTCAATGTTGGGTTTCGTGGTGATGATGAGGAGGAACTGGATATTTTGGATTCAAATATCGCAACAGGCTTACTGCGGGTTTTCCTTGTTTAACACTTCATACCGCACATAAACTAAGATAACTATCCAATCCCTGTCACCATCTACTATATGCATCCTTCCACAGGGGTCGCAGTTCACCAATCACTGATCCACCTGTCCCACTAACCAGTCGATTAAAAGTGTAATAGCCAGCAAAAAAAAACACTCTAGTCTTTCCGTTTGTACACTGAGAGGAAGCGTAGGGGGTGTGGACAACGAAAGTGGTTACGGTCACGAACCAGAACGGCAGATTATGATAGGTGTTTCAGTCTGTCACCTTCATAATTAGTATTTAAATCAATACTGTTCAACTTTCAAAGATTAAAGTTGAAGCGCGCAGATTGTACAGTTCGTGATGTAACACAAGTCAGTAAAAACGCACAGAAAATATCACCTCTTCATAAAATAATGTATTCATAAAACAAGTTGTTCAATATCCATTCCGCATTGGCCTTGCAGGCTATCAGTTAACGAAGTTTTATGTCCAGCCTATAAAATACTCACCAGACAGAAAATTGTGTGAACCAAAGGTCGTATCTTACTAAGAACCGACGTCGAGAATTTTAATTAAATTATGTGGACGTATAAATTACGCTTCTAGAATTCCACTTAGTGATGTCTTTCTTGAGAAGCCTCTTTTGGAATCAGAAACTTCATTAGCGTGAGACACACGAATCCAGTCCGCGCTCTCACATCCTATTTTTTAACGTCTATTTTAACATCTTTCTACCTGCGCCTAGATTTCGGCTTTTCAATAAAATTGTAAGCATAAGCATTATTATTCCTCGGGTTAGAATATCTCAACCGTAGACCTGCGAGTAGTAGAAGACGACGAAAAAGGAACCAAGTGCCTGGGGTGGCACAACTGGGCCCCCCCCGTCACTGTGGAACATAAATACAGGGACCTGGTCGTCCAGGTTGGGGAGATTGTTCTGTAAAAATTACTGTTGCGAAATCCAAAGAAGTGATAGCCGGATACAATCTGGCAGAATTTTTAATGACGGCTATGACTCAAAAAGGGCTGTTTTGCCAGTGATGAAGATGTATTCTCACAGTGATCGAAAAAGGAAAATGGAACAAATGGCCTGTAGCATGTATGAGAAATATCAGTAACACAAGAAACTCCAACAAAGCACGCAAATGCCTGCCAGTTAATGTGGCCACGCATATTTACATATCTACAAGAACCTAGAACTTCATTTCCGTTGAAGAAGTGACTGAAATATCATTAACACTTTCTCTTGACTCCTTCGCGACGTATCTTGTGTCTGCCACTAAACAGACATCAGATGAACCTTCTGGTAACCAGTGGCCATGTACTGAACATTAAAATTACTACCGACCGATCACAATAGCCACACAGCCTTGGACTGCTCGGACATTAGAAGCAAGGGTTCGAATCCCCATTGGGTCGCGAACGTACGTGTTTTTATTCGTTGGGTTGTCGATGGACCGATATAAGGCCCAAAAGGTCTACCAGATGCCTAAATATTCATTATTTCAGAATTAATCCCGAACTCTGAAGAAAACACTTGTGAATTTGTCAAGTTACTATTTGACGAATCGTGAGTCATAACAGGGCTAATTATAACACGTACAATTCAACAGCAGAGTTTACTGGCAGCGGTACAAAGGTTAATGTCATCGCAGTTCGAATTATTTGCACTGTGGCCTAGTCATATGCAAGGCAATGTATCAGAATTCCCAAATAGTACTGACTTAACAGACCAACGCTGTAGTAGCAGAACACGCAGATTTATCACCACGAACATCAAAACACGTCACTGGACTCGATCCTGAGCCATTTCCTCTCATCTCCGATCTTCAGAAATTAGCTTCCCATGATCCATCTTGATTACATGAGATCTGAAGCTCTCCCGACGGTATTACGATTATGCCTTTTGGGACGTAATTCGTGTAATTTAGTACATATGTACCATGCTACCAACCTACCAAACTACATGGCGGCACCACATCTTGAGGTGCCGTCTTCAAAACTAACGTTCTTCAACAGACTTTCCCCCGAAAACTCTGAACGCATTTCCATTCCAGCCTGGTGTCCAAACCTTCAGAGCCTTCTCGATTTCACTGTCCTAACAATACTAGGTGACCCATAATATACTGAAGTTCCTCGTTATGCATCTTCCTAAATGGCTCACTACTGCTTAGGTTCAGATATTTTCCTGGACATCCTTTCATAGATTTGTTGTTTTACATTGAAAGTAAACTTCCCTGTCAACCCCCCCCCCCCCAAATTGGAGTAAACTTCATCACTTTGAAATCATATTTAGGAGTGAATTAAACCTGTTTCATTTGAGTCATGATGACCGTAGTTATTATTTTATCGCATATTTAAAGTTATTCTGAACGTCTCTCGAACACAATTAGCCCCCTATATGTATATGAGACAAATTCCGTCTTAAGTGTAACAATTTAATTGTAGTTCTTTCTTCTTCCCTTCCTCTACACTACATGTTTCGGCCCTAAATGGCCATCATCAGGTGTGTATTCTTACGTAGCTGCTACACTGCCCGTAGTTTAAAATTTAAAATCACCAGTCTTTCCAATTGTATGTATGTAAAAGATCTTTGTTAACCTACACGCATCAATTTGATTTCTAAACTTGGCACGTATTAAAGATAAGAAGCGACACACACACACACACACACAGAGAGCCTGAACAGAACAATACCTGAAGAGCGATAACACAAGAAGTGGCCGCTGCAGCACTACAGACACAGGGCGTGTACCCCGAGAAAATTTTAATTTTTAAAAATTTGGAAAAAGAAAAAGAACAGAAAATTTATAGACATTTTAATTTGAATTTAAGTTTTAAAAAAGTGCAAATTTTAGAAATCAAATTGACGCGTGTAGGTTAACAAAGATTTTATACATACATACAATTGGAAAGACTGGTGATTTTAAATTTTAAACTACGGGCAGTGTAGCAGCTACGTAAGAATACACACCTGATGATGGCCATTTAGGGCCGAAACATGTAGTGTAGAGGAAGGGAAGAAGAAAGAACTACAATTAAATTGTTACACTTAAGACGGAATTTGTCTCATATACATTGTGTGAGAGTAACAGGATGCTTAAATATAATATTGTAGCCCCCTATATACTAACACAATTAGCATTAATACAACTTTACACTAAATAACAGTTCAGAAATGGTAGTTGCATTATTGCGACTATTTTGGGCACCTTTGGAATAAAAGTAGCCCGCTTCAAGCTAACGATTATATTTACGGAAGAACAGACGACCTTTGCACCATAACTGGTAACAAATTATGCTGCTTCTATTTGTTGGAAAATATCTGAATATTCGATATTTTAAATGTTTTGCTGAATGTTTCGTTAAAACAACGATCAATTTTAGGAAATTATCCTTTGTCCTAGTTTTGATTTGAACCGACGTTTCGGAGACAGGACTTTCTCCATCTTCAGGCTCTGCTTCGACCAAGACACGTTCGTCTCCGAAACGTCGTGTAAAAATTAGACTGTTGGATAATGACCAGAAAGCTTTTCTTTGTATTACTACAGCATTGTCGCAAACTTTAAAATCCTATTTGCTTTTTTTTAAGTTTGAATTTAGATGTACTTGCACTTACCTAAAGAAACTCTGTTATGAACGCAATACTACACAAACAGCTGATGCTCGTAAGTCGTTGGAACCTATTACTCAGCTTTTCTGCATGTAAACTTTTATGTATATCAGCAGAACTTGTGTAGTCGGATAACAGATGTCAGTAGTCCACGAACAGATGACTGACGGTCGATATGGTCGATATTCAAACATAAAATCGCGCTCAGCTTTTAGAAGACTGTCGGTAGATGTCAGTAAAACACAAAACACTGCATTGTAACCAGGGGTGTGCAAGTGTTTATATGCTAAATTTTGTGGGCGTACAAGAGTACAAGAGGTCAGATGGGGTCGAGATGGTACTGAACCTGCAAGCAAATATACATTTTTCTATGGAAAGGGGAATGATAAACATGAATTAGGTACGGTTTTCTTTTTTTTGCGCATAGGAGAATCATATCAGCTGTTAAGAGGGTAGAGTTCATTAGTAATAGATTGTCATACATCATAGTAAAAGGTCGCTGGTGTGATATCATCGTTCTGAATGTTCATGCCCCGACAGAAGATATAATATATGATATAAAGGACAGATTCTACGAAGAACTAGAACATTTGATAAATTTCCTGAATTTACTTACTTACTTACTCATGGAACTGAGCCCTTCTGGAGGAGCCGCCAATTCCGCAGCTACTCAAGAATTTCCCAGCATTTTAGGGAACCCGAAGGTTCATTACCGTGTTCACAAGAGCCCTCCAATGGTCCCCATCCAGCCATATCAATCCAATCCATACCATCCCATCATATCTCTGAGATCCATTTTAATATTGTCCACCCACCTACGCCTTAGTCTTCCCTGTGGTCTCTTTCCCACCAATATCCTATACACATTCGTCTCCCCCATTCGTGCTACATGACCTGCCCACCTCATCCTCCTTTACTTGATCATTCTAATTATACTTGGAGAAGAGTACAAGTTATGAAGCTCCTCATTATGCGGTTTTCTCCAACCTCTTGTGACTTCATCTCTCTTCGGTACAAATATTCTCAACACACTGTTCTCAAACACCCTCAGTCTATATTCCTCCCTTAATGTCACAGACCAAGTTTCACACCCATACAGAACGACAGGCAAAATTATAGTTTTATATATTCTGATTTCTATGTTTTTGGACAATAGACAAGAAGACAAGGTTCTGGACTGAATGGTAGCAAGCATTACCTGAGTTCAATCGCCTCTTAATTTCTTCCTGAATCAGGTTTCAATCTGTTATCGTTGTTTACAAATACGTATATGAACTGTGCCACATTTTCAAAACATCTGTTTCCTATCTTTATGTCATGATTTTTCCCCGCTTTTTGGTGATGAGACAGTAACATATACTTACTTTTCTCTGTGTTTACTTCTAGACCAACCTCTTTACTTGCGTCAATTAAAGTTTGTGTGTTTTTCTTTATGGTATCTACATTATCACCCAGTAGATTCACATCATCAGTGTAGACCTACAGCTGATGTGTCCCGTTTAATTTCAGTCCCACCTGGTTTCCCTGGACCTTCTTAATTGCATATTCTAAGGCAAAGTCAAAAAGGAGTGGCAATAAAGCATCTCCTTGTTTTAGACCATTCTGGATAGGAAATTTATCAGACAAATGTTTACCTACATGGACTTTACTATACATTTCATTTAAACACATTTTAATCAACCTAACTAGTTTCATGGGTATTTAAGACTCTATTAAAATATTGTACAATACCTCCCTCCCAACTGAATCATAGGCTTTCTTGAAGTATATGAATGGCTGATGTACTGTATAAAAATGTTGTTAGATTTCAATGCCAAAGTAGGTAGGGAAAACATTTCAAACCATCAACTGGGAATGAGAGTTTACACAAAATTAGAAATAATAATGGAGTTAGAGTAGTGAACTTTGTCACATCCAAAAAGCTTATTCTCAAAAGTACGACATTCCCAAATCATTACATTCATAAATTTACTTGGACATCTCTTGATGGAACGACACACAAACAAACTGACCATATTTTGACAGATAGGAGACAGCATTCAAGTATACTTGAGGTCCAATCATTCAGGCCAGCAGAATGTGATACTGACCACTACATGGTGGTGGTAAAGGTTAGGGTGATGCTGGCAGCTATTGAATAAACAACGCAGGGTTTATAAGGAGCGTTTTAATCTCAAGAAATTAAATAAGGTAGAGGGTAAGGATCAGTTATGTTGAAATCTCAAATAGGTTCGCAGCTATGGAAAACTTAGACACTGAGGTGGATATTAATAAAGCTTGGGAAACTATTAGAGAGAATATAGAAAATTTCTGCCAAGGAGAGTCTAGGTTTTTATGTACTAAACAAACCTATGGCATGGTTCCATGAAGGATGCTCAAAATTATTAGACCAAAAGAAACAAGCGAAATGGTAGTGGTTACAGGATCCAAGCAAGAAAATGGGTATAATTTGAACAATATAAGACATGAATCCAGCAGGAATTGCAGGAATAGAAAGAGGGAATATCTGAAAGACAGAATTGATGAGCTTGCAATGAGCAGTAAGGACAAGGTCATTAGAGACCTGTATAGAGGAATAAATGACTTTAAGAGGGGTTACCAACCTAGAAGTAACTTAATGAAGGATGAGAATGGTGATCTGCTTGCAGATTCTCACAATATTTTGAATGGGTGGAAGACCAGCCTAGAAGTAACTTAGCAAAGGATGAGAATGGTGATCTGCTTGCAGATTCTCACAACATTTTGAATGGGTGGAAGAACTATTTCTCTCAGTTATTGAATGTACATATGGTCAGTGATGTTAGGCAGATAGAAAGACATACAGCCGAGCCATTAGTACCTGATGCTAGCCCTTTGATTTCGAAATTGGTAAAGCCAAATTGAAAAGGTATAAATTGCCAGGTAGTGATCAAATTCCGACAGAACTGATTCAAGCAGGAGGTGAAATATTATGTTCTAAGATCCATAAGCTAATTAATTCTATGTGCAATAAGTAAGAATTTGTCTGATCACTGTAAGGAGTCTGTTATTGTACCAGTTCACAAGAAGGGTGATAAATCTGACTGTAGTAATTATTGTGGGATATCTCTGCTGTCAAATTCATACAAAATGTTATCCAATATTCTTCTCTCGAGTTTAGGTCCATATATAGAGAAAAATTATTGGGGATCAACAGAGTGGGTTTCAATGTAACAGATCAACTACTGGTCAGATCTTTAGCATTCGTCAGATACTGGAGGAAAAATGGGAGTACAATGAGACAGTACATCAGCTATTCATAGACTTCAAGAAAGCCTATGATCCAGTTAGGAGGGAAATATTGTACAGTAATCTCGTAGAGTTTTGGTTACCCATGAAACTGGTTAGGCTGATAAAAATATGTTTAAATGAAACGTATAGGAAAACATTTGTCTGATAATTTTCCTATCCAGAGTGGTCTAAAACAAGGAGATGCTTTATTGCCACTCCTTTTTGACTTTGCCTTAGAATATGCAATTAGGAAGGTCCAGGGAAACCAGGTGGGACTGAAATTAAACGGGACACATCAACTGTAGGTCTACACTGATGATGTGAATCTACTGGGTGATAATGTAGATACCATAAAGAAAAACACACAAACTTTAATTGACACAAGTAAGGAGGTTGGTCTAGAAGTAAACACAAAGAAAACTACTTACATATTGCTCTTGTCACCAGAATGCAGGGCAAAATTATGACATAAAGATGGATAACAGATGTTTTGAAAATGTGGCACAGTTTAGATATTTTGGAACGACTATAGTAAATCACAGCCGGATCCAGGAGGAAATTAAGAGGAGATTGAATTCAGGTAATTTTTGCTACCATTCAATCCAGAACCTTTTGTCTTCTTGTCTCCTGTCTAACAACATAAAAATCAGAATGTACAAAACTATAATTTTGCCTGTGGTCCTGTATGGCTGTGAAACTTTGTCTCTGACATTAAGGGAGGGACATAGGTTGAGGGTATTTGAGAACAGGGTGCTGATGAGAATATTTGAACGAAAGAGAGATGAAGTGACAGGACGTTGGAGGAAACTGCATAATGAGGAACGTCATAACATGTGCTATTCTCCAAGTATAATTGGCATGATAAAGTAAAGGAGGATTAGATGGGCAGGGTATGCAGCACGAATGGGGGCATTAGTTTGAAGTAAACTTATAATCATGCGAACAGTCTGCAGTCTAGTCTCATAAAAGTCTGTCATCATGTGTTGATGTTGATATGGAAGTGATCTTAAAACGATATCTCCATGATAACAGACAAAGAAATTCACTTTGACCTGAGCCTCTGGCTTGTTTCTTCTTACTGATTCCAAAAGTTTTCATTTTGTCATAATATGTTCAGAAGCGATTCTAATTGCACACTTATGATGAAACCTGTGCAGCATGCTGCATGAGGGATGAATCATGCCCTGAGCTATCATGTCGTCTGTTCCTTTCTTTTTCTATCCTGTTCCTTTACTTCTTTAATCTGTAGTTCCTGTTATATATACTTAAAATACATCAGCAATTTACCAACAATTCTGAATCACATAATGTATTCAGATTTCATCCAGTTATCCTGTAGGACGTTCTTTTAAAAATATTTTGTGATAGACCTAAGATAGTGGGCCCTCCATGCAACAATATCATCCATTCCACCATTTTGTATCTGAAATTCTGATCTTTCTGAAGAAATTAAACTTTTTGATCATATTTCAAAAAATTTCTTCCAACTTTGAAATGTAACGTCTTGCAGCAAGTAGTAATTTCTTCAATACTGGCACTTCATGCTTCAAAGCATGAAACTGACATATTTTGTGACTAGTTATACACTGGTTCTCAGCAATTTCTGGTGGCCTTGACTTGTTCTCTGGTGTTAAGAGCTTCTTTACTCTCCTGTTTCACCTGCTTCTCTTCTTATTTTTGTTTCTCACATTTGTGCTCTTCTGTTTATTCAGTACTGCCCTTTTATTGCAGTACATTCCTTGTATGAGCTTGATTTGCGGCTGATGAACAGTATGAATTCAAAGTAATGGTAGATATGAGGAGAAAGTTAAGCTATATTGTAATGTCTATAGGTAGGCAACAGCTTGATGAACACCTCACTTAAGGTCACTCAAGAATAAGACGATGTATATAGCTCATTGCTGGACAACAATCAGTGCACCAATGGACTGGCAAGATAGCTAACACGTGACTTGTTTTCAATGTGGTCTGCACTAAGCAACAATATAACTGTGTTTTCTGTGTGTGGTCCATGCTGAGAGGATATGAGAGAATACAAGAATGGAATCGATTTCACTTGATTTTCTGAAGTCCCAAGGGAACAGCAGTGTGGCCAGAAGAAGAATTAGAAGACTTAATGCATGATGTTAAATGTGCTGCAGTTACAGTAATCTTACAAGTGTGAGAAATAATTGTAGTTATGACTAATGATGATCCAATAAACCGATTCACCAATCCAAATCTGTTTCTTAGTTACTGAAACACGTGACAATATTGTCGGGTGACATATACCCAACACGTGACAATATGTTTAGTCAGTTCTGAAAACATCCTGATGATCCTATAAGTTTCCAAGTTTTCAAATATTCTTCTAATATGTAGTTGCATATCCAAATGTAGAACAAAACTGTGGGAAATCAGCACTATGCTAAGCTGGAAAGTTGTGTACGTGATTCCCAATGAAATCATTGGATTTTTCAGTTGACTTAATCCTTCCAGCTGCACTATGACCCTGCGTTTGACTCAGCCTCTAACAGAAGTGAGTACCAGGAATTCCTGGGGTAAAGGGTGACGCAAGGCTGGCAACCTCACTCCATCTTTGAGCTGGCTGTCTAGAAAATGTGGAAGCCTTGACTTCTCACAAGCCTATGGGCCTCCATGGCCCATTACAAGGACAGCTTTACTTTTTTGTTTTTCTGAGGAAAATCAGTTTGAACACAGTGAAAAAACATAAAGTTTCAGAATAGCAACATTTCTTTGTTTCCAGAAAGGTGAGTATGACCTGCTACGGTGATCTCAGCTCTTGAAATTTTTTAGAACATCATGAATCTTGTAGATTCTACAGTGTTCTGATGATGGTGTGCAGCATTCACATTACTGAGTTTTTGAACTTCGACCATCATCCATCGTTTTAAAGAACATGATGTTTTGGAAACTGGAACCACTTCCAACATGAATCTTGAAAGCCATATTTCAGAGAAATAAATTATTACAAATAGTATTATATTTGAGCTTTGGTAGATCTTCGTGTTACACGCAAAGTTGTTTCAAGCAGAACTTTGTGTAATTTATGAAAAAGTATTCCAACTGTGCACTGGCTGGAGACATTTTCATAATACTGTGTTATAGGATAAGTTATAACATTCTCCTTTTGACCTTATGTCGCCTTATCATTTAACTGACATATATTGTCAGTCAGAGAAATATGAAGTTCTCAGTAGCAGAGAATTGAATGGATGAGAACCCAGTTTTTCATAAAATTCAGGTATCACTCCCCCATGTACATTATATGAAACAGGTAACTGTATGCTTAAGATATCTATTTTATTAATCCAGATTTTGTATGATTACAATGATCATGTACAAGTACATTCACTGGAGAATTTCTTCATTATTTTCCATTACCAGATCAATTAAAAGATTTTTAAAAAAACATTCTTCTTCTAATTGTACAACTGAATTATTATTGGCCCACGGTTTTAGTCTCCAGTTGTTACTACCCTTTGATATCAATATTACAAACAAGGGGTCAGGATCAATGCAGTGCTATGCGAGACCAACAAGTGTTTGGTGAAGAATATATCAAGTTTAAATACCTCTGCATTTCACATTTTGTATTATAAATATTAAATCTGGTTATTAAGAGCTACTTGAGCAGGTTATTATCTATATTTAATATTTCATCTTCTGATGGTAATATAATGCTGATGATATATGTTCTTTGATACAGTTTGCTGATATTGGTAATGTGATGATGATGATGTCATGAACCCATGAAGAACTTAGTAATAAAGTGATGATTATGGAAATGTGTTTGATGAGAAAATATTGTTAAATAAGTACAAGGTACATATTGCGATATTTTGGCTTATGATACCATAGTGTGGTTGGTGATCATTCCTACTGCTGGGGGAACTGAGGAAGAGGGAACTGTGCCCCTGGTCAGCATGCGTCTCTCTCCACTTGAATTGTCCGAGAAACTTTTCAGCTGGAGCCGTACACTAAAATCTTGCCATCACTCACTGGAAACTTGCCAGAGACTGACATGCCTACAGCAGTAACTGTATAGCTCTTTTGTGAACCCAGTTTAATTCAATTTAGTGCAAAGCAAGCAAACAAGTATGAAGTTTTCAGTTAGTCACTGCAGGCAGACGAGTCAGTTTTTAAGTTATCGAGTCACTCACCTAGTGAGTGAGTTTGTGAGTGTGTGTGCATGAGTAGTCAGATTTCAGTTCAGTGCACTACAATGCAGATGATTTGAAGGAAGAGATGAGTACAGTAAGTGACTCAATGTGACCTGGAAGCCACATGCCAGGAGCTCAAGATGTGATTGGCAGCAGTGGAATCCAAAATGAGGCATTGAGGTGGAGCAAACACAGGGGCCTTCACTGTTGTAATGAAGTCAACAAACCTTGGTGAATCCATGTCCTCGACAGCACTTGACAGTCAGTTTCAAGCCATAGTTAATCATTCTGTTGGGCAGCCCTGGAGAAAGCCATACATCTACTTGTCATTCTGCAGGACCAAGCTGCCAATATCCTATATATTGGCCTAGCCAGAGTACATACAAGAAGGACCACTATGGAGACCACAAGCTGGCACCATCCTTCCAGTATAACTTCAAAGCCAGAACCCAGCTAACTGGAATGCCCCTATGAGAATTGGCAGCAACTATCAAGCAGATGGCAAATGTCACCTTTGTTGGGTTACCTGAGGACTTCGTCCAGAATGTGTCAGCCCGTGCATCCTTCAATGGAGTGAAGGACTTAGAAGTGAAGCAGCACCTCATCATGAGCAGTGGCTAGAATCCCTTAACCAGGCCTTGACGTTAGAGTCTGCGATGGCAGCAGTTGGATCACAAGTGAAGATATGAGAGGTGAGTGTTTGAGCCCCTATGGGAACACAGTCATCAACAACTGACAGCTGGGACAGGACGATCCATATGCTAGTAATGTGTGGAACATCATCTTTTCAGAAGACAATGTATACATTATACATGATGAAAAGGCCAACAAAGATTTGGGGAAACGATTAAAAGCCAGTGTACCAGTATAATGTTGAGATACCATTCAATATCACATGAATCATCCCAGAAAGCAAGGAGGGACTGTACACCTTCAGATTTCCATAGTCTATTTCACCAACTACTTCCCACAAATACCTTTACCTGACCAGTTGTTGATTATGTGTAACATAATTGTTGCAGTGTAATATACAAGTGGATTCTAGATCTACTCAATTATCAGAATATAACATAGACTTTTAATAAAACTACCAAGTAACGAGTAGGAAATGCTGTTGTGTTCTGATCTCTGGAAACATGCCTATTAGCAGCTATTAAGTCTTTGTGGCAATGTGAAATGAGTGAGTCTGTATTCAAGCTCAAGAGGTGTCCAAGTTTAGAAATCCAGGGTTGTTGCACAATAAGAAACTAAATTATTTGTTAAGTAGTGAATAGAGTTGATACACAAAATGAAGGAGTTAAAATCTCACTTAGGAGTGACATTGCCCATATTAAAGACACAAACTGGGAAATATTACTGAGTATTTACATGCATAAAACAAAAAAATTATGTACATGTGAAAAAACATATTTTATGAGACTAGTGATTAAATGACATAGTATATATGTATTTGACCTCACTATTACATAACTCTGTATATGAGACTTTAGTGGAGAAACAAATGATGTCAGTACTTGATTTTAGTAAGAATATTTCACTGTAGTATACCTTTAGTGAGCTTGCTGATCTTGGTTTTCTACTGTGTATTTTTAATTCATTCTTCACGCACTAAACCTTTCTGACATTGTTTATATTCCAATTTCATTATTATACAAATTTCTATAATCCATTTCTAGTTATAGCTGGATCAATAAAAATACTCTTTCTTATGTAAATGAAAGGGTCTGAAATAAATAATGGAATATAACCACAAAACTCTTAGTGGACATGATGTCTATACCATGTTGCTACGTATCCATTCAGCATAACGATGTACACTGGAATGTACACTAGGTACACCTTGAGTTCCACATTTGTCAGAACCAAATGATGTAATTCCCACCTAGAAGAAAACATTACTTTAAATAAACATCTGCAATTTTCCTTTTTATATGTTTCCAAGCATTTTTACATCTTTTGATCTTAGGTCACTTAATAGTTTGTTGGCTACAACATTAAGTCACCATTATTATATCATACTGTGCAGCCCTCACAAAATTGTTCCTCACCCCTACTGAAATCTGTTATTTCTTTACTTTCAAGGGAGTCATGAATGATCATCCTATAAAAAAAACTATAGAATACTTGGCTACAAGTAAATGTAGCAAGCTTTTCTGCTTCAAGCATTGTATTCTACAGCATATTGAGACTCATTATATATGTTCATTCAAGTGCAGTTGCAACATCACACTTTTTATGAGCTAGTATCTTTGTGAGGTACAACCTTATTGAATAAATAGGACTATTTGATCAGATAATTTCTACCTAGTATATTTTACTTCCCCCTCATTGGTGTCTCCACCTTATCGTGGTGAGGGGGTTTGAGTATGCCAAGGACCCTGAGAGCTATACCAGCAGTAGCATAGCTACTGGCAGGGCCTCCCTTGCTGGACAGGTCAAAGGGTAGGCATCAGACAAAGAGAGACACCAAAAACCAAAAACTGATGCTGGATGCAGCATCATCAGCAGCGACTTGAAGCACAGAGCAAATGATGCTCGAGATGGTTCAAGTTCGTATAGCAACAGGCGTGACCAGAGTGGTTTGAACGGCTGTTGTACTGCGATGTGGAAAGCAAATGGAAAAACTACCACATTATCACTTTTCCTGGATAGTCTCTTTCCAAAAACAGAGACACCATGTATGCGAGATGTTTCCTCTGGAGACAAAACAAACCAGAGGGATGGATAGAAGTGACCAGAAGACGAGGAAGAAGACATAAGAAGATGCTGGATGACCTTGGGGACAGAAGAGGATATTTTTATTTCAAGGAGAAAGCATTAAGTGGAGGAACTGTTTTGGAAGAGACTGTGGACCTGTCGTTTGACAGATTACTGATGAATGAATGAATATTTTACTTATTTTCTTTAATGTTAACTTATTGAGTGTATGCTGGTATTATGAGTAGGGAATGACTGAAGTGAATACAGTCTTGTTGAAGCAAACAGTGTATTAAAAAGTTTTTAATTTGATATGCTATTTTATGATCATTATTTTGTAGCTTCAAGTACTGTGTTCAGCAGTTGTTATATTTATGTGCTGTTTTGTTTAATTAACAGTTTACTTCAGATTAATAACAAATTTAAAATGAGACAATTTATTCCCAGTGATCCAGAATGACAGTCTTTGTTTCAGGGATTCAGTATATTTTTTATAGTAAAGACTTGCGCATGGTGTTCCCAAATTAAAAAAAAAATGTACTGCTGATGTAAGTGGTGTTGGTCTTAGGGCAGCCTGTAGCAGAAATGAGTACCAGAGATCTTCCTGGGCATAAACTGCTGCCAGCGCGTAAGACTGACAACATCACCACCATCCGTGAGCTGACTGTCTATAAATTGTGGGAGTCTTGATATCTCATAAACCGGTTGAAGAGGAGTTATTCAGGGAGATTGAGGAGTGTAAGTTCTGAGACTTAGAACGATTTATGCAGATTGAGAGGATTGTCTGTTCGATTGTTGTCGAGAGTGATCAAACTAACTGGGTGACTATTCTGCTGCTAGAGTACAAGTAGATTGGTCATTCAGCCGGGTTGTGTGGGTCGAGTGAGTTAAAGTGTTCACTTCATCATACATTAGCCGTAGTTAGGAAAGTGTGCAGAATCTATACAGTAAGTGGCGTGGCAAGTGCATCGGAGCTGGGGCCATCCCGTCTGCAACAGACTATCAAGCAGGCGAAATGACGGAACTGACCTTGTGTGAAACGCGATGGAAGGCAATCATGGCTTCCTTTGAGAGGAACCACGAAAACTTAACAACTAATAATCCTGACTGCCAGGAAGAAACTGAATTACTGGGCAGCAGCTTACAAATAATAGGGCAACTTATCCATACATCGCCCTCCATAAATGGAAAGGGCACAGTATGGAACCAACTCATAACCAAATCCAAGGCTGAGAGGAGAGTGCTCTGTAAGCACCTTGATGGCAAGGCTCTCTTTACAGCCATGCTGAGCCTCTATGCTGCCATCCACAGGGAGATGCGAGAGCAAAGAAGGCGCAAGCGAAACCCCTCAGAAGAGCAGAAGAAAAAGCCGAAGATGACACCTAGCCTGAGGGACCCTAGGATAAAATCCCAGGGTGAAGTACAAACGAAGAACTTCTTTGCGCCCCTGAGGACATCAGGAATGGACGTGGAGGAGACAGCCAACAAGCTAGGAGAACAACAGCCATCGGACAACAAGTCAGGTAGGACGCCTCCCATTGTAATAACCTCTACGACTAACCTGATGCTACATCTCACTCAGTACTTCAACTGATTAAATCCCAGGCTGGCTGCCACTTCAAATTAACTTCCTAGTCTTCTCTTCACAGACTGACTTTCAACTGACTGAGCTCTAAACTTTATCCTACTTATAACCCCTTGGCATGGACCATGTAGAAAACACAGCTCTTCTATTGTTTTAATTCAATTGTTGCATAAATGTGTTTACTGCACTGTTCCTATGCAACGGCCGTGGCACTAACCACAGAAAACACCGTTTTCAATGGTTCTTCTATTGTTGCTTGTTGAATCTTTGCTGTGGGAACCCATTTGTTGGTGAATGCTACCTAGTAATGAGTCTACATTTTTTTTTCCTTGGCACTACAGCCCCAGTGGGCCTAGGCCTACCTCCATGAATGTCTCCATTCACTTCGGTTTTTCTAAATCTTACACATTCGGTAGGACTCCTTGGGCAGGTGATCAGCTTGTCGCAAGGCCTCTACCTGTACACAAAGACAGAAAAACGCACACACACACACACAAACTGAATATCCATTCCCTGAGTGGGATTCGAACCCACGATCCCGGTTTCCAAGCAAGTGAAAACAGTACATGCCTTAGACTGCTCAGCTACCGTGACTGGCAACAAGTCTACATACCACAATATAATCAATATCAGCGAAGTTGTTTATGATAAAATTGGAATTTTTCATTTGGACCTCTAATACATGTGCATTGAATTTCCTGAAGATACTACCCATGTGGGTTCATTCAGGGATATGGTCTCCTTACATTTCTGAAATTTAATCAAAATTTCTTCAGCCATTTTCAATTAGTGTGCCATTCTGTCTCTCTGAGAACTGTTTGAAGGGCTCATACTTTTGGAGCTGTAATATTCTTATTAAATTGGCACCAGCTTCGAGATGGATAAACTCATAAAGAGTGAACAGAAATTAAAGAAGTGTTCAGATGCTAGTGTGGTAAGACACACATCAATATATGTATAAGTACATATATAAGACATACATACAAATATATGGCATTTCAAAAAACATTTTTTTTTAATAATCAGGGAATTGTAAACTTATTAATCTATCAAATTGTAGAGGTCACTGTTGGCAGATAAACCTAGTGACAAAATTAGCATTACCTGCAACCAGTGCATGCAGCACTAACTTGTATTGTAAAGGTAAAACTAATGTGGTAAAAGGCCATGGAGACCCACAGGGTTGTGGAACATCGAAGCTCCCACATTTTCTAGACAGTTGGCTCACAGATGATGATGACTATAATATCATGCAGCATAATTACAAGGTGACAAATGTTTTGCACGTTTTATATACATGTATATAAACACAAGCAGTATGGACAGTGGGAAGAATCCTGTTAATCCAGATTTTCTACACAAGAACATCAGAATATTAGAGACCTGCTTGAACAGCCCAAGTTATACCAGTGAAAAGGAAAGGAATGCTGAAGATATCTGCTGTGTGGGAGGAAAATTCCAGTGATCAGTTTTAAAACCTTAAATAACCTACAGACTGTACGGGTAACAATTTAAGGGCTGAAAAGAAATTCAAGGGTAGGTGTTTATGATGAGCTTTCTGCATGTATAGACAATATTTTTCATACCTGGTAATACCTGCTACGTGTGTAGTGGTCAAGCAGTATGAGAGGTGCTCCTCCAAATCCAGAACAAGCATCTTTCCCAGCTTCACCACCCACACATATTTGGTTCTGTGTAACTGACGCCACTTGACCGTAAACCTTGGTGCACTGATCAAGTGGTACTATTGGTAATTCCAGTAACTGCTCACGGCTTGGTAGTACTATAAAATGATAACTAAATGTCCATTATGAAATTTCATTAAGTATTTGCTTTAAGAGAAAAATTTAAGGAAAAAAGAGTTGATTAATAAGAAATGTACATAAATAAGATCTACAAGTTTGTGATGATGGTACATTAGTAAAAATATTATGTTTTTGGATACTATCCATCATCCTATCTTTATCTAAAATTTCATCCTGTTTATTTTTCCAAACACAGCATTTCAGAGACTGGATTGTGTCTCCATCTTCCGATAAAAAGATACCCAATTGGGCTCAAACAGTAGAGTTAGTCCCTATCTCTAGACACCTGTGCCAGCACCAAGATGGAGTATACAAGCCAAACACAGCATAAACTATCTGCGAGAGCTAAGAAAACATTAAATTATTAAAAACTGCACACGTATGAGGCCTTGCACCAGAGAACTATCACAATAGTGATAATCACTGGAGAGAAGCAATTCTCATTATTTTATCAGCACAAGAAAAATTAATTTTCTCACTCAATATACACTTGATGGAGTTATAGTTTCTTGACTTCTGGTGTGATAACAGGAGTCCAGATGGGAGATATGTCCTAACTGGGTTGACTGATTGGATGGTTCAGCACAGACACGTGGGTGATTCCTTGTATTTCATATACAGAGTGTCCCAAGAGTTTGGTGCCATACTTCAGGAGCGCACCAAGGGTTCCCCATAGAATAACTTTGAAATAGGAACCCATGTCCGCAAATGTAAAATAGCAGTGCTAGGGCGGCATTTAAAATAATTTCATTTAAACTTGGCGCCTCAATGTCGAACTGCATTGCATAGAGGAACAGCCATCCACCAGCACTCGTGCCATCGCCTAGATTGTGGGGACATCAAAATCAAGTGTTTGGAGGATCCTGCATGACCAACAACTTTATCCATATCATCCAATGCGAGTACACGACATAGGTCCAGCTGACTTCGTACCATGAGTTCAATTTTCTTAGTGGATACTGAACCAATGTATATATCAGCCCAACTTCCTGAATCATGTGTTCTTCACACACGAAGTGCAGTTTACAAGGGATGGATGGTTCAACTGTCAAAACAGCCACGTTTGGGCTGAAAAAACCCCGTTACTGTAGTTGGTTACCACCAGGAGCAATTTTCTGTCAATGTCTGGCCGTGCATCATGGGCAGTCACTTGATCGCGCCTTTCCTCCTACCACCGCAACTCAAAGGGCCCTTTTACAAGATGTTCCTGGAACGTATCCTTCTGACTTTGCTAGAAGATGTGCCACTGATTGTGCGGAGGCAAATGTGAATACAGCATGACCGAGCGCCGGCACACTTCAGTATTGTATCACGAGACTACCTGGATGCTGCTTTTCATGGTTGTTGGATAGGAAGAGGAGGCCCAGTGCCTTGGCCACCCGGATCCCCAGACTTGGCACCTCTGGACTATTTCGTCTGGGGCCATGTGAAAAGCCTGATCTATGACATGCCTGTGGATAATGAATTCGAGCTGTTGGCCAGAATATTTGTTGCATGTGACGTGATCCATGAGACACCTGGAATATTTGAAAGGGTGCGCCAAAGTTTCTTTCATCAATGTAACGAATGCATTGAAAATGGAGGGTGCTAATTCCAACATCTACTCTAGCAGGTGAGTTTTAAGGTTTGGAGGGGGTAATATGCCTGTGCCTCTTTGACGTTGAGGCGCCAAGTTTAAACAAAATGATATTAAATGCCGCCCTAGCACTGCTATTTTGCGTTTGCGGACATGGGTTCCTCTTTCAAAGTTGTTCTATAGGGAACCCTCAGTACGCTCCTGAAGTATGGCAGCAAACACCTGGGACACCTTGTATGTAGTGTTGGACTCAATCTGCAAGACCTTCGCTTCATTCCAACATATTTTTTGGCTTTCCTCATATGCATATGTCGATGATACATTCGTGGTATGGCCACATAGACCAGCAAAGTTACAGCAATTTCTTCGCCATCTAAAAGTATTAGGCCTAAGATCAAATTCACTATGGAAGTTGAGGCTAATTATAACCTTTTATTCTTTAATGTTTTGGTTATAAAGTTGGGTCCAAAAATGGTCACGAAAATGTGCTGGAAGCCTACTCATAATGGTTGTTATCTGCACTTCAATCCAACCACCCACATCATTCATTCATAGTTCAGTCAACCAAGCGAAAGTCATGTCAAAATCAGAAGGATTTCAACAATGAAATTAAAAACATAAGACATGATCTGATGCTCAATGAATATCCAAAAGAATTTGTTGACTCTGTTATTAAGCCATCAGCAAGAAATTATCCACCTTCAGACACAATATACCAGGGCACTGTCATCATTCCATATGTTAAGGCTCTTTACGAAAAATTCAGACGAATCGGGAATCATTCCAATCTCAGAACTATTTTCAAGACTAAACCTACACTCCATGGGACATTGATGAAAACTGGACCAGTTAGAGATGCCCAGTAGATGAAGCAGTGCGTGTACAGTATTCCATGTGATTGTGGCAGCTGTTATATCAGTGAAACTAGCAGACTTTTAGAAGTACTCATTAAGGAGCACAAATATAACCTGACACAGGGTTTGCTTTAAAAATCAAAATTAGACCAACATTCATACAAGGAAGGCCATAAAATATGTTGGAATGAAGTGAATATCTTACATGTGAGATTTGAGGCTTTCACGGTGGTGACTATGAAGAAAGCAGTCTTCTGGGATTTGGCACCGTGTATATGTGGTGTTAACCGACGTTTCGGAGGAACGTATCGCCCCCATCTTCAGGGTAGAAGAAAAAGTATAAGAATTCTGCAAGCGACAACACCGTGAGAAACGGTAAAGCAGACTGAATATCTTACAGATTGAGCCCAACAGGAAACATACGGACTCAACCCACATGTCTCTACTGGACCATCCAATCAGTCAACCCAGTTTGGGCACCTTTTCCATCTGGAGCCTCGTTGTCACAGCAGAAGTCAAACTACAACTCTGTCAAGTGTAGATTGAGTGGAACAATTTGTTTCTCTTGTATTGGTGCTGTAAGGAGAACTGCTTCTCTCCAGTGATGATTATCATCGTGATAGTTCTCTGGAGCAAGACCTCATAAGTGTGCAGTTTTTTAATAATTTAATGTTTTCTTTGCTCTCGCAGATGGTTTGTCCTGTGTTTGTCTTGCATACCTCATCCTGGAGCTGGCACAGGTGTCCAGAGATAGGGACTATCTCTATCGATTGGGCCTAACTGAGTAGGTTTTACCTGAAGAAGAAGATAGAATCCAGTCTCCAAAACGTTGTGTTTTGAAAAATAAACAGGATGGTGTTTTAGAAAAAGACAGGATGATGGATAATGTCCAAAAACATAATATTTGTAAGACATGTATGTATTAATTTTACTTCCCATTCTCTCTTAACTAATTAACTTGTCAAATGCCATTTTGGAAGCTAAACTAAATAATTATAACAACCAAATCCTAAGATCCAATAAAACCACCTGGGAAATTGTAGAAGTAGAAGCAGGCAAAAGAATTAATACAAATAACAATATTAATATACAACAAATAAATATGGATGGTGATTCCACTAATAATCCACAAGTTATCGCTTGTGTCTTTAATGAATGCTTCCTTTCAGTTGCTGAAAATCTCTTCCACAAAAGACACCACTACTACTATTACTATTATTACCACCACCAATACCACTGCTGCTACTACTACCACTGCTGCTACTTCATTAAGTTGAAATCAACTACTGCAATTTTGAAGTGGGTGGTATTTTTTAGTAACACAATCTGTGTGTTAGTCTCAAGCTGAGTATACTGAAATGTTATTTCACTCTTGGTCACTGGCTACTTTGTAATAGAATCCATTCATAAAGAGTGTTTCAGATTTCAGCTTATACTCTACACAATTTTAGTGCTTTAACACAACATGATAAAGAAGGGATTTCTACCATAAAAAAAAATTCATGTACAATTGTTATGAAGAGATACATGTCCCCATTCCAGTTTTTCCTCAGAAGGAAAAAATCCATACCTTCTTGTCCTGACGTCTTACCCCAACCCACAAGTGAAGCTCTACGACCAACCAAAGGAACATTGGGGTTTTCTAGGAGGCAGATAGGTAAGGCAGCCACTGTTAAAGAAATTATCATGTATAATTATGTGCATACCATATACTGAACAAACTGAATGAATTAATAAGTTGCATGCATGCTTGCACATTCTTATTTAGAGACCAAACTCTCTGACAGAGGAACTTCAAACTTTGTGTTAAATTCCACTATAAAGAGAGCCAAAGATCTATTCTCACTTTATTTTGTTGTGCAATTAAGACTACAGTATCTGAAAACATTAATGATCTTGAATGATTAACTCTTTAAATATGTACTAACTAATTCCATGATGCAGAGCCCTTTTTGAGAAGCTACAAGCAGCTTGTCTAGTCAAATTATACGCATCCTATGGAGCCTATTGGGTCAGTACTTTATTACAAAAGAGCCAAACAGTGACCCTTATTCAAAACCAGGTAAATCTAGTCCAAACTTTCCTCCCCTATTTCTTGAAGATCCAATTTAATGTTATCCTCCCATCTACACCTACACCTAGACTAAGTACCATTAAATAGTTAGTGAGTTACTTATGTAAATTCCACTTACCTGAGAAATTCATGGGTATTTTAAGTACCAGCAAAGCTACATCATGTTTGAATATCTTTCGTTCAAAGCCTGGGTGGACAATTACATGACTGACAGCAATGTCTTGAACAGGATGAGCACAAAAAGATTTAGTACAGTCTGGGTCCCCCTTGCCATCATACTCGCCAACTCGTACAGATGACCTATCACAATAATGCCTTTGGTGAAGAGATACACTCTTAACGTCCTAAAACTATGGTTGTGGTATGTAATTTTTTGTAAGTCACAATTATTTGCTATTTTAGTGTAAATATCATTAATCCAAATTCTGCTCTCTTCATTTCAATTTTGATTTATTATGTATTTTAAACCAAAAAATAATAAGTAATAAATATTTCGTGAATCACTTACATTTAAAACACTAGATTCACAAACATACGAAGCTCAAAAAATGGGAATTGGTAAAGTAAGGATACACTTGAATAAGAATAGTAGAGAAGCCATAACTAATATTATTCACATCATTAGTACATTAACTAATTTACTGCTTGGAAGAAAGACGGCGGAGGAAAAGACTGGTGATAGTTTTCTCAGGACAAATTTGCCAATTCTATTATGAGTGTAACTGCTTGACTGCAGGGCAGATACAAGTCAGCATAACAAATGTAGGAGATATCTGCCATTTGGATTCGGTGTCTGCTGAAGTATATGTGATGAGGAAGATGTTTTTGCATGAGCTGTAGTGTCAGTGACTCAGATATATGAACAGAAATGAGCAGGAGCAGGAATGAACCTGCTAAAAGAAGGTATGTCAGCGGGAGTCAACTCAGGTGTCTCAGATCAGGACAATAAGCAAGGCCAGTAAATTAAAGGAAAACAGAGTAGCTGACCTTTCAAGAAAACATCGATAAGAGGACACAGGATAAGCTGAAATTGATACACTCTGACACTCTGATGCCAATGGTCCAATGAGTAGAACATCCTGGAGAAGGGCACGCTGTCTGTTAACTCTCATTATAACTTTACAGAAAACTTCCAGATACTTCAGTCCAAAAGTAAGATTACAGAAAAATTTATGGCACTAAGACAGACAATGGAAATGAGTATGTTAATAGAAACGTTTTGGGATTACCACAGGGACATTGGCATCAGACATCAAACAATAGTGTCCTTCACCGCAGAACAGAGTGGAGTACCTCAGTGTGTGAACATAACTACTATTAAGAAAGCCAGAAGCATGTTAAATGATGCAGAACTAAGCAGAAAGTTTGGAGAAGAAACATAACAACAGCAATTAACTTGAAAAATTTGTCTATGAATTCTGTACAAAAATCACTTCAAAGTATTCGAGGACAGGACAGAAATTATTGGGTTAGTTCTTTCTCTACGATTATGCTTGTCTACACCTCCTTCCTCTATTAGTAAAGGAACCATATAAGCACATGCCATCTGTGTAGACACTGTAATAAAATTGTAACCCACAACAGTAGATGGTCTCGTGTTAGTCCACTTGAAGTGCGTGAATTTGGAGTCTGTACTTGTGGAGCCTAAAACAATTCCTCCACCCTAGTCCCCAGACAGCTAATGCCACACCTGCTAATGGAGATTTTCCTGACTGTAAACGCTAAAATTAATGCAGTACCTCTGATGCCTGCCCTCAAATCCATTATTTGTATATAGAGACCAACAAGAATTATAAATCACGATTCATATAACTTAGATATTAGTAGTGAATATATTTAAAATATATGAAAGTTATTAAAAAAACCACTCTTTGGTTTTACCATTATTTTTCTGATTCTTACCACATAAAGAGATGTTTCATGATGGGTTATGCACGTGATTTTGACGTAACCTTACCATATGTCACATAAAAAAAATTAATCTATCCCTGTACCAGGCCGTGAAGGCCCATAGGGTTGTGAGACGATGAGGGTCCCACACTATCTAGACAATTGGCTGAAAGATGGCGGTAAGGTTGTCAGCCTTACACGCCGGCCATGCTTTCCTCCCCAGGAAAATTATTTAATTAATTCCTGGTACTCATTTCTGTTAGAGGCTGAGTAAACCCCAGGGCCTAGTGTGGCTGGAAGGATTAGGTCAACTGAAAAAATCCAATGACCTCATTGGGACTTGAACCTGCGACCTTCCGACTTGTAGCATAGCCCCTCAACCACTACATATGTAGAAGTTTTTATAATGAATATGTAAGTGAATATAATTTTACACATTCTGCACAAAAGTGACTTCCATAAAATTTTAATATTTTTTAAATATCTAAATCCATGTAACAGTTAAGGCATCTACAGTGAACTTAAGCAGTTTCACACTGGAACCATAGAAGTTAAGGATGAACAAGAGTGACTTCATGGCATGACAACAGTTTATATGTATGTAAAATATGTACACTGAAATAAATAATATATTAAAATCTTACAGCTTGTGTTTATCTGTATTGGCAAGGGCACAATGAGCTGCTGTTAAAACAGTTTTATCAGAGATAATGGATCCACAGCAAGGATAACTCATGTGGCCTGTCTTCATATCTAGATAAAAGAGAACAATAAACAAAATGAATGAAAATTTTATATTATTGCTGCATAAAAATAAACAAACGTTAAATTTGTAATAGTGGTTACATGATGCATCAAAACTGTGTTCACAAAACAATTTTTATGCCATAATTCTGGGGAGAAAATAGATACAATTGAATTGGCCACTTGGTTCCAAGGTGCAAATTGAAAATTGAAGATGGAAAAGGGTTTATTTCCATCTCCTTTAAACAATGAAATAAATTTCTGAATTTTAACACTAGCTACAGAATGCCTAAAATATGTTCATATGAAACTTTCTTTCAAAGCAATGTGTAGAGAAGTATGTAGGAAACAATGATGCTAATGTTTATATGCATATTTTGAGAAAGGAATTAGAATTTTCAGAATCTGACATAGGATGACTAGAAATAATCTTCTTCAATTTTCTTCATTTTATAGTGACGTGTGTCAGACTTAATGACCGAAGAAACACTTGAAGCATTGCTATTTGACACAGTTATCTCTAGTGATCCATAATACCTTTGTACTATGCAGCAATTCAGACTTTGAGAACGATTTGCTGGTAATACATTGCAAGGTCAAACAGCCATTGATGTAATAAAAGCTTAATTAAAATACTGATTTCTCTAATTGCTATTTCACCAGTTACATCATTCAAACCATTTACATTGTAACAATTTATAGCACCCAATGGTAAAGCATATATGTGTGAAGGTTTCAGTCATAGTCTTCCTCAGATGTGGTCATTTAAAACAAGAGAGGAAATGTATATAAGAACATTTGAGGTGTATTGAGGTATTTTGTCTGTAAAATTAATGAATGGGATGGCCATGACTTCACTCATATAGCAACCCCAGTGTCCTCTCATCAGTTGATTATGAGACAAACCAAGATACTCTTAAAAACTTGTTTCTGTCTTTGTACAAAATGTTCGTTATTTTTGCTGTATTTTAACCAAAATTAAATTTTATCAAAAGATTTTAACACAACTCCCACATAGTGACTGTCACAAAAATCTAATCAGTGAGAGCCAAATTATTTCATGTGGACAAATGGATAGACAGACAGACAGGCAGAGAAATATGATGAAATTAATAGATGCTTTTTGCAGTTATTGCAAACAAGCATAATTAATTAACAGATGTCTCTGATGTTCCATCTTACATAAAACACTTTTTACAAATTTTTGTTTAAAGTTACTACATACATATAATGCGTCTTTTAAACTTACTCGTATTTTAAAAACCACATTGCCCAATACACGTTTTGACCATCATTGGTCATCGTCAGATTTCTTTTTAAAAATATTCTGTGGAGATTGCCATGCTTGTATTTTTTTCCTTCTAATATTTGATGCATAGCCCTGTCACACATTTGTGTTTCTGTAACATGCGTTAATAACCTGTTTTAGTGTTTTGTATACAGTGTATGTTACTGCTGTGGATGATTATCTATGTAAATATGAAGCCTAATTAATGTAGCTCTAGCAGTATTGTGCTGCCATATTCCTGCACAAAGTGAACTACTCGTGCTCCTAACTGTGAGAGATATAAAGTATTTAATTTATGACAGAAGGACACTGTTGGAAAAGCAAGCATATTAAAATGTTGAAGTAAGTGGTGTTCTGTATTTTAGAATAATAATTTTGACTTGCTATATGAAGTGATAGATTATGATTGGCATTGAAAGTATGTAGTAAACATGTCGGTTTTGAAGAGGAATGTGGAGGCAACCCTTGTTGAAATAGAGAATCATTGAATTTCGTTATTCTACAAATACATTAATATTTTCTACTTCCTGGTTTAACTACTGTAACAAAATATAAGCACTTGACATCCCAGTTACTTGAATATTATTTAGGTAACATTTGACTTTCTTACTGATATATCCAATTCGTGCAACCCACGGATGTGATCCTAGACCACCAGTTCCTCCCCGTTTTATGCTGTTAAACAAGGGCTGACCACAGACTGTCTTCTTTCCTGATGGTGACGATCCTTGAGAACTGCTGTGATGATATGTAAAAGGACTCTCAAAACCTCCTTGTGGACAGCATACTAGAATTTCATTTCCCCGGTAGCCACATGTCAGATCCCCCAATCTATATATACAAACAGATAAATTAAATAAAATAATGAGATTTCCTAACTTCCTTGATCCAACAAATAATCTTGCCCGCCATAACCAGACCTTTGGATTAACCAATAAAGGTCGCAGAGTGGTTAAGGTACTATGCTACAAGCCGGAAGGTCGCGGGTTCAAGTCCCAATGAGGCACTAGGCCCTGGGGTTTACTCAGCTTCTAACAGAAATGAGTACCAGGAATTAATTAAATGATTTTCCTGGGGAGGAAAGCATGGCCGGCGTGTATATCCTGTATATCGAGTCGTTAGGTGCTGCTGGAGCTCTATCCCCTCCACCGTTTAGGGTCAAGCCCCCCCCCCTTCTAATTGAGCTTTGAGACCTGAAGTACCTGACGCCAATTTGATTCTTTTTGTCTTCCTTAAAACTTCCTATTTAGAGCCGGGAACCAATTATGAGATTCAAGTAGATATAAACGTTGTACATTAGTTGCTCAGCCTCTAACAGAAATGAGTACCAGGAATATTCTTGGAATATTCTTGGGGTTAAAGTGCGGCCGGCGAGTAGGGCTGACAACCTTGCCGCCATCTATGAGCCGATTGTCTATAAATGTTGGAACCTCAAGATCTCTCAACCCTATGGGCCTCCACGGCCTGTTACAGGGATACCTTTACTGTTTACTTATACATTAGTTACTACTTATATATTTAATGGCACGAATATTGATAACTGTTCATACCACGGTACTTCGAGACTACCTGTATGAACATTAGGTGCGAATATTATATTGTGTTGGAATGCAGTAGTTAATCTGAATTCCTGTCGTCCTGAAACTGCGTCAACACACGCAAGCGTCCAAAAACTCTGACTCTGGCAGAGAGAACTGCATACGTTGTTGCGCTGAGACAACACAATGTCTATATGGGGACTGATAATTTCCCCCCCATATATAAGTAAGCTTTAAATATTGCTTAAAATATTAATAAAACGATAACACGCCATACTGAATATATCAATATGAAAGCAAAGGCATGCCAAAAATCAGTTTGCCCACCATTACACGGTTTTTTTCGGTCGAATCCTTGCGGAACAATCTGACAGAACTATCTCAGACAGTGATATTATGACTCAACAGTTTTCACAGACCTTCAGAGAATAAAGCATAATTGTACTGGTTGGCTGGGATTCAGATTGCTCGCATTGCCTAACTCATCACATGTCCTTTACCAATGAACAAAACATCTCGTACTTCAGAATCGCGTAATCGCCTAATGTCAGAAATTAAAAGGGTTAGAGGCAACACGAGATTTTGCCATCAAATACACGTATTTTAGCATCAGCATTAAATAAGTTAATCAGTCACTTGTTTTGCTTCACTATAAGTTGTGATATCTAGTTTAAAAGGTAACTGAACTACTTACTTATTAAGGGATGCTGTTAGTTAATAGAATATTAATCGCAATGAAGAATTATCGAATATCGACTACTAATAAGCAGATGCATAGAATAGGTTGCATATCTACAAATTCGTTTTTATAATCATTATTGCATTTTGACAACTGTATAATATCCCATAGCAATGCAGTTGATCTACGTGGTGAATATAAAATGAACGAATGAACTTAAGCTGATCTGCTAGAAGTATTACAACCCTAAGAATCCGGTTATGGTTTGTCACATATTGGAAATTTAGTTAAAGGAAAATTAACCAAAATACCCATAGAACATAGCACAAACTAAGAGAAAGTAAAATCTATTCATTTTCAGTAATGTGGGTCTCAGCAACAAAATATGCCTACAGAATCAATTTGAACTTTAAAACTGCGGTCTTCTGGGATGCGATTCTATCCAGTTTTTTATTTGGACGCCAACATTTCGGAAGAATCTGCTGCCTTGTATCCTGAAGATGTAGGCATCAGGTTTCTCTGAAACATCGGTAGGTTCCTATTTACCAAACTACACGGCATCATATCCAGAAGACCGTAATCTTAACATTCAGTTATGTGAGAGCCTCAAATTGCACTGTACAGCTTGGCACCTATGAAATTTTCTGAATATCTTGTGGGGGGGGGATGTTGACAAACCCTAACGTAAAATTGGCCGGTCAATCTCTGTCGTATGATATGTGCAAAGGAGCGTTTCTTACTTTTCAGACGCAAGACAACTTTGTTCCATGAGATCTTGCAACAATGTACAGCTTTTAATCGGTGTGCACACTGAGCCACTGGGACACAAATTGTCGTCCGACTTTTCGCGAGATATTGAAGGGGTTCCATCAAAGCTGCGATCTTCTTCGTCTTCCATAAAAGCAACTGTAAAACATAAATTATTCATGTCATTATACAGAAGTTTTTATAAATACTAAAAATTGATAAGTTTACTTTTGCCGCATAAAAATGAAATTTATAAACGGCTTTCCCTCGGCTCCTTGTCTTTCTCTACAGATTAAACAGAACTTGATGGTAAAGGTATACCTTATGCTTAATCAAGCACCATTTTAAGGAGCCCCTGCTCGTGTGCTTAATGGAATACTGCTCCAACGATATACATCCCTGTACTTGATTAAGCACTACGTCTAGAAGATCTATCCCTGTACTTAATTAAGCACTACGCCTAGAAGATACATCCCTGTACTTAATTGAGCACTACGCCTAGAAGATACATCCCTGTACTTAATTAAGCACTACGCCTAGAAGATATATCCCTGTACTTAATTGAGCACTACGCCTAGAAGATACATCCCTGTACTTAATTGAGCACTACGCCTAGAAGATACATCCCTGTACTTAATTGAGCACTACGCCTAGAAGATACATCCCTGTACTTAATTGAGCACTACGCCTAGAAGATACATCCCTGTACTTAATTGAGCACTACGCCTAGAAGATACATCCCTGTACTTAATTGAGCACTACGCCTAGAAGATACATCCCTGTACTTAATTGAGCACTACGCCTAGAAGATACATCCCTGTACTTAATTGAGCACTACGCCTAGAAGATACATCCCTGTACTTAATTGAGCACTACGCCTAGAAGATACATCCCTGTACTTAATTGAGCACTACGCCTAGAAGATACATCCCTGTACTTAATTGAGCACTACGCCTAGAAGATACATCCCTGTACTTAATTGAGCACTACGCCTAGAAGATACATCCCTGTACTTAATTGAGCACTACGCCTAGAAGATACATCCCTGTACTTAATTGAGCACTACGCCTAGAAGATACATCCCTGTACTTAATTGAGCACTACGCCTAGAAGATACATCCCTGTACTTAATTGAGCACTACGCCTAGAAGATACATCCCTGTACTTAATTGAGCACTACGCCTAGAAGATACATCCCTGTACTTAATTAAGCACTACGCCTAGAAGATATAACCCTGTACTTAATTGAGCACTACGCCTAGAAGATACATCCCTGTACTTAATTGAGCACTACGCCTAGAAGATATATCCCTGTACTTAATTGAGCACTACGCCTAGAAGATACATTCCTGTACTTAATTAAGCACTACGCCTAGAAGATACATCCCTGTACTTAATTGAGCACTATGGGAAGGTTTATCCCTGTGCTTCAGTATGCGTCACGTCTTGAAGACGATTGGGGGAGATATAACTCCACGCATTAGTAACCTAAACATAGAAACGAGCCAAAGAGTGATACATTCGCGGATAAGCCCCTTTACCACTGAGAAACAAATAACAGTATTCATTAATTGGAAGGCTGGCTGGACCTCAGAGTCGGCCTTGACAATTTGGCAAAGAGAAAATCTGTGCCCCTGCCGCAAACCAAACTTCGCTCATGCAGCCCATAGCCTAGTCACTATTCTGAGTTACTCCTGCTCCTCAACATTTGGAGCTGCCCACATTTAATTATCGATGACGACGACGACGACTTTTCTCGATCGTTACGAAAATAAATGTGAAAACAAATGAACCCATATAAAATATGTGATAAAAGTCTTCAATTGTTTTACTTGTTAAAAGTTAGGCTCTCGCTCACACTGCATCCTGTTATACCCCCAGATGAACGGGAATTAATTCTTCAACTGAGGCATAAAGTGTTGAATAATGTGTTTTCCATTGTGTGTAGCACAGTTACGGTGCATTTACTACCTTATGAAAGTTTCGGAGCCCAGCGAGAATTCATAACAAATCTAAAACTCCGTGATATGTTTAAATAAAATGTATCTATCTGTAAACTCTATGTGCCATGCACAGTAAAGAATCGCCTTGCTTAATAGTATCTAACATCAAATTATAAAATACAAGGCCAATGAAATCGGCTATTTTATGAATATTTATCTTTTGTTCCGCGAAGCGTTACACACAGAGATGTAACACTGGAAAACCCGTGTTACGCAATACAATCCATTCAACAAATGGGCTGTATCCGCGCCCAAAGCAGCAGTCTCCGATATATCTGAGTGACACCCGCTGTAAAACTTCCGTCGATGACGGTGTACTGAATGACAAGGAAAGGACCATGACGAAATACGAACTGTCTTGAAAATGTGTTAGTATCTAAATCAAATCTGTGCTTATAGGAACGTAAAAACGCCAGTCTGCATGCTGCGTATGAGCAATTTATTCTGCGTCCTGTAAAGCCTTTACATATTTACAGTCTTAAGTGTAAATTAATCATGAATCATTCTGCTCCCTGGAACACTGATAATATCCCCGCTACTTTAACTGCCAGTGTGACGTCTATTTCTCTGTTCCAGTATACAGAAATTAAGTTTATTACTCCATGCATCCGTCTATTCATATACCAAAATTATGGATCAATTTCAAGAGTACTGACATAATTATACGCCGGAAAAAAAAAGCACGTAACAGTGTCCGGAGTTACTTGAAACACACTAACTCGAAAGTGAGATTTGTACTCTTCAACAAATATTGTTCGGGTATTCAAATAAAGTGGAATGAAATGGACGGACTTGTGATAGGTTTCAGGGAGATGAGAAATGTATAGAAATATTTCATAGTAAAACCTAAAGTGAACAGACCATTTGGAAGACCATGGCATAATTTGAAAGACAATATTCAAATTAATTTGAAGGGAATTCGGTGAGCATTGAATTAAACTACTGTAATTACAGTATAATCACTAGTATAATTTCAGATATCTTAAGAGAAGGAAATTAGTGGCCATCTCAGCGATTATCCGCTTCTCAAGGATTCTACTCTGTGGAGTCTGTCAGTCTGTAGTTTGCAGATTAGATGTGTAGGCTAATTAATTACAGAGTTAGTCATCTGGTGAGTAGATTGACTGGTTGGTTCGTCAGCTGCAGTTTCTGGCCAAATTCTGTACCGAAATTACTTCCATACCATTCATAAATCTCTGAGAAGACAAGCATATTATTCCAACCGCAAATTTATCTGCCGATTTTGAAGTGATTATAAATGGACTAGTCATAGGCGGCTCCTGACTTTCTGAAGAGATGGGACCAGGACAGAACAAAATCTATCTCCCTCCCACCGCCTTAATCAAATGCTCCTATATAAGGAGTCGCAGGCCACAGTGGCCTCATGGTCTAAAGCATGAACCGTCTTCGCCCACTCGAACACTGGGGTCGTGGGTTCGAATACCACTCGAGCTATGGATGTCTGTGTGCGGTTATGCTTTGTTTGTGTCGTTCTCTTTGTAGGCAGCGGCCTTGCGACAGGCTGATTCCCCTTCCAAGGAATTCTACCGACTGTGTATAGGATTAAGAAACTGAAAATAGCGGCCAAGGTCTAAAGGGCTGTAGTGCCATAGAGAGAGAGGAGATTAGGAGTTTACTTATTATGCTGCATTGCACTCTCGTTTAGCAACGTGAGAATCATTTTGTGTTGACAACATTTGCAGACAGGAGTCGCGCTCCTACTTTTTTTTCCTTCATCATTTGTTAGCAATCTGAATTTGCATTCTATAAGCTAATTTGCTGTCATGTACAATCATTATTTTATTGTACTAAGTTGTCTTGAAGAGCTGTAATCCATCGATTACGCCTCAGTTTTCCTGGAGATCGTTTGGCCAAGTTCGTCTTAGTCTTCTGTATTGTGTGGGTTGAAGGAGAGCTTCTATTGCGTTGTTGGGGTGAGATTCCAGTTTCTGATAATGTTTTTGGATTCTGTCTGTGATTACGGTTCTTACATATGGGATCTTGAGGTCGGTGTGAAGAGTTTGGTTTGACACGTACCAAGGTGCGTCAACTATGGCTCGCTCCTACTAAAACTTTATTTTTCCGCTTAGTGGGGGTGGAGTCCAGCTGGCACTCGGCACAGCGGCCACTGACTGGCCTATTGTACCTACATTGAGTGATCATGATGATGGAAAATTTGGTGGAATGAAGATTGGCAGGGGAAACCGAAGTACTCGGAGAAAACCCGCCCCCGCGCCACTTTGTCCAGCACAAATCCCAGTTGACCAGACTCGGGTTCGAATCTGGGCCGCCGCGGTGGGAAGCCAGCGACTAACCGCTTGAGCTATGGCGCAGCCTTACTAAAAACTTTGGTACAAATACAACCCAGGTCCTTGGGTCTGGTTAATTTGGAACACCTCTAGGCTCATTTGTGTCACCCATTGGTCGATGCTTACAAACGGATGGACAGAGCGAAGCCAACAGCTGCTTCGATAGTAATGTGTATGCTCATAAAATACACTGCTTCTGTTATTTGTCGGGATGGTCCATTTATGGTCCGCACATCTTTCTTACAGATTTTTGATAATAAGAGCGACAGAGATTTATGACCTTCAGTTGAAAGTTGTCATTAAACTCAGTTACACGTTTCTTTGTCGACACTTTTTCATGTGAATCGCTTTATATTGATAGATCATGTTCATATAATTGTCTCTCCTAAGTAACTTCCGAACCAATGAATGAATTTTTATGCAGTTATCTACGAACATATCACTGGACGACGCCTCAACTCCGTACGTTTAGTTCCTGCCAACAATAATGACCTTTTGATGGTTGTGCAAACTCCTGAAGTGAGAGCGATTCTAAATAGAGTGTCCTTAAATTTTGTCTGGATGATGACCTTCAAATTGTGTGCAATGTTGTTCAAGGTCGCTATTTGTCTGTTTTTGCGGAATGGAAAACAACATAGCAGCATGACATCTGTACTTATTTTTCAGTTCCATGGCGAAAAGTAAGAAATTGTTGGGTTATGCGTGTGACATTTTATATAGACATCAATTATAAAGTAACTACAAAGTGTAGGAGATATTTTTCACACGATCAGAAACACAAATATAGTAATGCTGTAGATACATATATGGAAAATAAAAAGCAGTCGACAGTAACTCTAGTGGAAATGGATTATCAATTTCTATAATTTCCAATTTACATTTCATAGTATTCATAAAATATCTTTTCAAGCATCTGGAGAGAAGTGGACATCAAAATATCCCCCAGGACTTACTCATCTCACAAAATGCTATAAGATGAGGCTATGCAGGTATGGTTTCGAAGGGACTGACATTTATGTCAACAACTGATCTGTGAATATATGTAATAAGATTTCCTTTAACTTGAGAAAATGTATTTTAAACAACCTCCCCCCAAATCCTAGATATGCTGCTAACCTCATAACCAATGATTCAGAATAGACACACAGATAGGATAGTGTACACATAATCTAAGTATTTATTTGCTCTTTCCATCACTCAAATAACACTAAAATAACATGAAACGTACATTGAAAGCCATGCTCAATTCAGTGAAAATGTTGTGTGTTTCATTCATATATAGAGCTGAAAAATTACTTTGAAAAATGTTGGTATAGTTTTAAATTACGACCCCTACCAGAAATTAGAACGAATGCAAATAATGTTACATGTGTTGTATCATTATAAAGTAGATGTCAGGTTTAAACATTGTCTCAACAAAAGACCACCATTATGCATGCAGTCGAATGTAGCACAAAAGAGCAACGCACATGAAAGAATGAAAAAGAATGTGGTTTTGTATCACAACGCCACTATGCAAATGGAGTGGCGACCCAGCAAGCAGGTTGAATATGCGTGACTGCGTGATTTAGAAAACTGATACTGGGTAATGGCACAAAGTCAGAGACTTTTGAATACATTGATCTGAATATTACGTAGTCAAATTTCAGCACAGTGTGAAATAGCAATCTCTCAGAATTGTGTTACGTTCTAATGATGTTTTGCCTCCAATGTAATTAACACTGTAGTGGCAGAACTGGAATGTTCAGTATACCTAATCCTTTTCGACACGATCCTCAGCCGGTTCAATCCGTCTTGGACACGTGTAAATTACGAATTGCGTTCCGTTACTAACTTACATTATCCTTCTTAAGTCCAAACTCTTTTCCGAGCATTGCTTGTCCGCATTAAACACTTTTAATTACATTCTTACCTCAACGTAAGAGACCATTTGTCACAATAATTCAAAACAATGTTTATTTACTAATAGACGAATACCCTGACATTCAACTTTTTTAAAAGTAGGCCAGATGGTAGCAGTTCAGAATAGAATATAAACAAGAATTTTCAGAATAAAGATAAAAAAGGGTAAAGCTATCCCTGTAACAGGCCGTGACAGCCCATTGGGTTGTGAGACGTCGAGGTTCTCATATTTCCCCTAGACAATCGGCTCACAAATGGAGGTAAGTTAGTCAGCCTTACTCGCCGGCCCCCAGGAATTTTCCCGATACCAATTTCTGTTAGAGGCTAAGTCGAACCATGGGCCACAGTCCGGCTGGAAGTCCACTCATCGGGACTCGAAACCGCGACCTTCCGGCTTGTAGCAGAGTGCCTCAACCAAGTACGCTATTGCGTTCCCCATTCGTTTCAGAATTCCATTTTAACTTCATTTCTATTTGTTAGTGTTCTCACCACACACCTAAATACTTAAATATTCCCTCATTATTCATAATTATTTATATTACGATTTCGTTGCTGATTTTGGCTCCGTGACATTTTCACATTTCGCAGTTGTACCTATGTTTACTTCTATCTTTCTATGTTTATTTAACCAATTTAGTAACAACTTTCACTTTAACTTCCGTGTCACTCAGATGGCATTAATTTCCTTGATGAACAATGTAGTGGAAAGGTACAATGGAATGATGAGTGTTTTGTGTATATTTTTACAAATCCTGCTTCTTTAACAGTCATACTAGAAACCTCATAAATAGTAAGAGAAATTAATTATGAAATATGCGAGAATCTGAAAAATCGTTTACAGTAGCACACAAAAATTTAGCTCAATTGTTGTTCCACTTGAAGTAGAGAGTATTTAAATTTTTTTCATGGGCTTCGTTATCTTTTACGAACCGAATTATGATGGCTTAAGGAGCTGGAGGTAGGATACTTGGGCTTAAACGAAAAAATAAGTACAAGGCAGCATATCCTCCTTCAGTCAATCGCGGGTGTTTTTGTTTGCTTCAATGGCTATGTTCAGTTGCTTAGCAGATTTCTGTCACGTTTCAGAATCGTATCCTTAGTTTATATATAAAAGATGAAGGTAAAGCTATCCCTGTAACACGATGCCAAGGCCCATAGGGTTGTGAGATGTCGAGCCTCCCACATCTCCTTGACAGTCGACTAATAGATGGAGGTAAGGTTGTCAGACTTACGCGCCGGCTATCCTTTACACCCTAGGAAAATTCCTAGTACTCACATCTGTTAGAGACTGAGTTGACGCCAGGGCCACAGTGCGGCTGGAAGGATTAGGCCAATCGAAAATCCAATGACCGCATCGGGATTCAATCCCGAGACCTTCTGGCTTGTAGCATAGTGTATCAACTAACTACGATACTGCGTGCCTCCTATTTTAGAAGTATTCGAAAGATTTCAGTGTACATGCTAGCCACGGTTGCTGTAGAAAATCGTCATCACTAAATAATTTGCTGTATCCATAAATTCGTTTATTGAACTCCAATCTTCCAGGTTCTACATTGAACTAACCAGAAACAACTTTATGCGACAATTGAACGCTAATTTTTGCCTCAAGCTTCTTGTTCTTCTTTAGTTTTTTTTTTACGAAATACTTTTGTATTTAATAGTACATTGACTAAGCTACGAGGTGAAAGACAGAGAAATCGGAGTTCAATTTCCAGTAGTGCTAAAGAATATTCTCTTTCCCTTGTGTGTGCATGCGAGTGCGCATCCAAATATTGGTTTGCCATGCCAGTAGCCAATCATCCGTTTGTAAAATTTTAACTTGAAATCATAAAAGTTAAAGATTGTGACTAATGGCTAAGCTACGTTGTGGTCTCCTAGAGAATGACAGTTCGATTCCTTGCAGGAGCAGAAAATTATTTCTTCTCCACAGCATCCACATCGACTCTGGAGCCCAACCAACATCCTTATTCCCTTATCTCAGGCTCTTTGCTTGGAGTTAAAGCAGCCGGAGTATGAACCTGACTACTCATCTCCATTTAGTCTTCTGGTTAAGAATGCATGGAGCTGTACCTTCCCTGCTGCATACATCTTCATACCGTGGTGCTTTATTAAGAAAAGGGTCAGCATTATCTCTTATGTAAATATGTAGGCGTATATCTTACCTCCCAATGATGAACATACCGTCAGGATGGGCAATACGTAAGCCAAAATTAAGGCTTCTGAAAGCAGAGCCATAGGAACCAAACGCGATGTCCCGCGAGACAAATTTGTAGAGCTACTGATGATGGTGGGGGATGACACGTCTCACCATGAATGTGCTGTCCCCTGCTTAGCATACGCGATTCCTGACCCACAGCATATCCCTTTTTTTTCATTGACTGCGGAAGTACAGTACAGGATGTGCATAGAAATGGAAACCTTGAAGAGGACAATCATAACGTTCATATTTTAGTTCAACAAGGTTTTGTTCCCGTGAACTACATAAGTAATATTGTATTGTACTTAATCCGGATTTGTTCCTAAATTGTTTAAATGTTCTGGCTACAGGCTTATATATGTTTAGAATATAGAGTCTAAACTTAAAGTTCTTCCTCAAAATATGGCCAAATGTTTATACTACAATTCCAACATAACGACTTCGGAGTGCCGCGCCATAGCTCAAGCGGTTAGTCGCTGGCTTCCCACCGCGGCGGCCCGGGTTCGATCCCGGGGTCTGGTCAAGTGGGATTTGTGGTGGACAAAGTGGCGCTGCGGCAGATTTTCTCCGAGTACTTCGGTTTCCCCTGCTAGTCTTCATTCCACCAATTGCTCCACAATCGCCCTCACCTATAATCTGAGGCTGGTACAGTAGGCCAGAAGTGGAAGCAGTAAAAGGGACTTAGTCCCACCCCACTGGCAATAAGAGAAATTATTAACGACTGGAGAATAACGGTTCATGGCATCCATCAACACAAGCTCAGCCAAGCATACTTTCCCAATTGGTAACACTGTGTACAGGCCCACTGTTGTCAACAGTTGCTTGCGGCTTACTCATCGCTCCTTTCGATAGACGCAATACATTCTTCTAAACGTCTACAAACTTCTGCCACACTACATAGCGTCACATCTCAGAAGACTGCGCCCTTCATCTTAAAGTCCTTTCATTAAGAGAAATAATCTCTCTGGCCTAACAAAGCGAACTCGCCTCTGGGACTGTCGAGTGTTGAGAATGTACCCTTTACAGACCATTTGGTTCAGCAGTCACAACAAAATAATTCTGAAATACCTTGGGAACATGAACCTCCATTTTCATTATATGTCGTGGGGAAGCGTTTGGCTCTCCAAAAAAGAACGATTATAATATGTATTTTAATTAAACGAAAGCGTCTAAAAAGTACCTATTCTTCCGACCGTCTACCCGCAATTCAGAGTTGCCAAACTGTTTCACTAGTTTATTGTTAACATGAATAAGTGAAGAAATGAGTGCATAGCGTAACAATTTTTCCGCATTTGATAAATTTTGCTTAATTAACTCGTCACCCGCATGGCTTGTGGAAAAGTGGACATAAATGCCTATCTTATTTGTCTTTTCAGCATTTGTTCGAAATGTCTTTTCACTCTGACAAATATTTAGCGAGCTTGTTTCGAGATGAATACAAAAACACATGCAAGTTTTCATGTAGTGTCGGTTATTTTGTGACGGAATATTGGAATATGACGAAAGATTTTAGTACAACTCAATATAAAAGTTGATTAAAATACGATCTGCAGTTCTCGAGTTGTTACATGCGGACGGACAGACATATATGGTGAAGTTAACAGATGCATTTCGCAACAAGGAGACAATACTTAATTTTCAATACAATAACGCTCGTAGTGTAACGATCACTTTTATTTTCAATAAATAGATGGCCTACACGTTTACTTACAATTCAGGTCGAACGGAGCTTTGTGTAATTATTCTCGAATATATGTGCCTTCAATAATCTTCGCGAAGGCCACTGATGAGTGTTGAATATGCAAGTTCGGAAACGTACGAGTATGCGTATCACGACAGTTTTTCGGCTTTAGTTCCCTTGTGTTTAAGTATCTTCAAACAAGCAAGACCCGGCAAATTGTTTCTGGGAATACAATGCACATTTCGGTTTTTCTTCAATTTCTGTTCGAGATATGTTTCCAATAAACATGTTGGAAGTTACGCTAGATATGGGCGCAGAAACGCATGCAAGTCTTCAAGTGTCTGTTATTTCTGTCAGATTTTGACCGAAATTTAATGTGTGAGACAAATTTAGGTAAAACTTCCCAATATCAAAGTTCACCAATATCCTCTCAGCGGTTCTAGATCTGCTTCATGCATGAGATACGAAGACGGACGGTGAGACTTAAATGTGGGTTCCGTGAGGTTGTCATCTAACTTAAAAAAATTAGCCCCATGGAACCGAGTCCTTCCTGAGAAGCCACAAAATTATAGTTTTGTATATTCTAATTTTTGTTTTTAGACAGCAGATGAGATGACAAATGGTTCTGAACTGAATTGTAACAAGAATAACCCCGTCTTAATTTCCTCCTGAATCAGGCTTTGTTTTGTTATAGTGGTTCCCAAATATCTGAAATTTGCCACATTTTCAAAATATGCCATGATGCCATGATTTAACCTGCAGTTTGTTGATGAGATAGCAGTATATACTTAGTTTTCTTTGTGTTTACTTTAGACCAACCTCCTTACTAGTGTCAATTAAAGTTTGCGTGTCTCTCTTTATGGTATATATATATATATATATTATCACCCAGTAGATTCACATCATCAGCATAGACCAACAGCTGACATACCCCATTTAATTTCAGTCCCCCTGGTTTTCTTGGACCTTCTTAATGGCACATTCTAAAGCAAAGTTGAAAAGCAATGGTGGTAAAGCATCTCCTTATTTTAGACCAGTGTTTCCCAACTTTTTTGATGCTACGGACCCCCTGTACCGAATGTTAATTGACTACGGCCCCCATAAAACCCAAAATGGAAATTATTTATATTTTACATATCATGAAGGTGAAGCAGTAACTTACAATTTTACAACACTAAATGTGTCATTTATGACAATAAAATACTGTTATAAATGGAGCTTATTCGGAAGATCACAAATATATCAATTAGGCCTAATATTATGAATTTAACACTCACCTAATCAACGATCCACACTTTAACAACCGATCCATATCTAAATAAGATCGTGAACAAACTGAAAATCAGAAGTTTCGTTGTGAACTCAATTATTTGAACAAAAGCAGAAAAACTGAATATTAAACCGAGAAAAACACACTTGTATAATATTATAAAAATTCAGTGCACAAAAACTAAAGACACACAGATTGTTCACTCTGCCACTGAAATTAATAAGAAACGTGGTCAATGGTCCCAGCTTTATTCCCAACCAAAGAGGGATGGATTTGGTGGGGAGGGGGAGAATGGTCAGACAGCAGGTAAGCAGGACAACAGTCCACCCTGAAACACGGGTCTGAGATGCAATGGGCCGACCAAAAGAAAATGTCCTTCGAAAAAAGCTACACAAATCGTTGGTTATTCACCTCTGCTTTACAAAGAGAAGGTACCGTTACGGTACCAACAGTCCCGTTAAATTTTACTTCAACCATGGGCCTCAAGAGCCAGAGATATACATTGCAAATATCCCAGGTGTGAGGAACATGATAAGATAAAGTTTAATGAAAATAAACTATCCCGCGGACCCCCGAGGGTCCGCGGACCACAACTTGGCAACCACTGTTTTAGACCATTCTGGATAGGAAAACTTATCACACAAATGTTTGTCTGTATGGACTTTCCATATGTCTTGTTTAAACATATTTTAATCAGCCTAACTAGTTTCACAGGTACCTCAAACTCTTATCAGAATAGTGCACAATACTGCCCTCCAAACTGAGTCATATGCTTTCTTGAGGTCTATGAATAACTGATGTACTGTCTCATTGTACTCTCACTTCTTCTCCAGTATCTGACAAATGCAAAAGATCTGATCAGTAGTTTATCTGTTATGTCGAAACCCACACTGATGATCCTCAATAATTTCATATATGTATGGGCTTAACCTTGAGAGAAGAATATTTGATAAAATCTTGGTATCAAGTTGACAACAGTGATATCCCACAATAACTACTACGGTCACTTTTATCGCCCGTCTTGTGAACTGGTACTCCTTCCATTGAACAGGTAAATTTTCCTTACTCCAAATAGAATTAATTAGCTTATGGATCTTAGAACATAATATTTCACCTCCTGCTTGAATCAGTTCCATCAGAATTTGATCACTACCTGGCGTTTTATACCTTTTAAAATTTTCAATTGTAATTTCTGACTCAAAAGGGCTAGCAACAGATACTAACAGCTCAGCTGTATGTCTTTCTATCTGTCTAACATCACTGACCATTTGTACATTCAGTAACTGAGAGTAGTTCTTTCACATATTCAAAATGTTGTGGGAATCTGCTAGCAGATCACCATTCTCATCCTTGACTAAGTTACTTCTTGGTTGGTAACCCCTCTTGAAGTCATTTATTACTCTATACAAGTCTCTAATGATCTTGTCCTTACTGCTCCTTGCAAGCTCATCAATTCTGTTTTTCAGATATTCCCTCTTTTTATTCCTGAAATGCCTACTGGTTCCAGGTCTTGTATTGTTCAGAATATCATTTATTTCACTTGGATCCTGCAACCACTGCAATTTGGCTTGTTTCCTTTGGTCTAATAATTCTGAGCATCCTTTGTCAAACTGTGGCTTATGCTTCTTCAGTTCATAATAACCTAGACTCTCTTTGGCAGAAATTTTGATAGTCTATCTAATAGTTTCCCAGGCTTTATTAACATACACCCCTTAAATGCATATACCACTTTTTTCAAAATATGTGAAAATACAAAAAAGTAATGTAAAATTTAAAGAAGTTCTTAAATTCTCCTTAAAACTATTAATATGAACAAAACTTACACATGGTAATCATCATTCATAATCTTCATCATACTTTATAGTATTATGCTTGTGGTGACATATTTGATCTCTCCAAATTTCTCTTTACCATTGCCTGATGCTTTAGCACCTTTTTTGGAAACCTGTTAGAGACCATCCTGCAACATTCTTTCCAATTTCTTCTGCACTAGTCTCAAACTTCAGCAGTTTGGGGAATGTAGTTCTGTAATATCTTCATTTCCTCTGTGGTCTGAAAGGATGTGTCCTGTAGTCCTCCTCATGAAACACATTTCTTCTGGTATCAATCTTCTGTCATCATTTTGCCTGCCCTCAAATCATTACCATACAATGAACAGATCTAGCAACTGTGATACAAATTCAGATTCCTTAAGTTTTAAGTTGGTTATTTTATGATGTCAGCACTGAGAACACACAGCTTTGGAATGCTGGAACATTAATTAAGGAGCAGTTCATGGACTGATAATTCACAGGGGAAACCGAAATACTTGTGGAAAACTTGCCCCAGTGCCACCTTGTCCACCACAGATCCCACATGATCTATGATCTGATCTGAGAGTGAACCCAGACTGCAATGGTAGAAAGCCAGTGACTGACCACCTGGTTATGTCTAGAAATTGATGATAGCTAGATCTGAATCCTCCTATATTAAGAAAATTTATAATTTTTACATTCAAATCCTTTTCTCCTCCCTAGGATAAATCATATTCCAAATATGAGGGTTGGAACTTTAATGGTGGCAACTATTTATTTACAACTGATACAAAATAGATGCATGTTTCAAAGTTTTACTGTCTTTCACTGTAGTCATCAGCACTGGGTACAACCCATTTCCAGCGACGTGAAGTTGTAGGATACCTTTAGCAGCACTTGTTGTGTTGATAGTTTGAATGGAGCGGTCTACTGCCTGAAGAATCTCTGGAACAGTTCTGAAGCGAATGCCACAAAGTGGTTCCTTCATCTTAGGAATCAAGTGAAAGTCACAAGGGCTTAAGTCTGGGGCGTATGGTGGATGGTACAGCACTTCCCAGCCCCATTGATCGAATTAATCAGCCACAGCTTGCACTGCATGCGGTCGAGCATTGTCCTAAAAATGATGGGTGGGTTCTGCAGAAAGTGTCACCACTTCTTTCTCAAAGCTGGTTGTGTTCCAAAAATGAACAGTAATACTGCGAATTGACACATTGGCATCAATCACTCTCCAGTAACATGCAAAGAGCATACACTTCTCCTTCACTGACACTAGGAAAACCTGGCCGATGCATGTCTGCCACATTTTGGCATCCCTCGTTGAAGGCTTTTACTCACCTTGCCACTGTTCTGTAAGGCAATGCAGATTCCCCGCAAGCCTCTTGAAGACCTTGATGACACTGTCGTGCTGTACGGCCTCTGGCACATTCAATCTTCATCCAATTCCGCTGTTCCTGTTTCGAAAACATGGTGACAACACTACATTAGACCGCCAGCTAACACGAGGTTCTGTTCTTTTCATCACTGCACATGCGCATGATGTGGGCAGGGAGAGTCCATTTGCTCTGAGGTAAGATAGGTATGTAACTAACGTGTGGTATAAGCGACATTATTTGGTTCCGTTGCATGGCATCTCTACAGCAGTGTTGCCACTATTAAAGTTCTACCCCTCATAACTAAAAGTATTTGTTCCAATCCTCTAGAGAAATAACTTTAGCTTATGGAGAAGTCTGCAGCTATATTACTCAAACTGTACACTCTATATTGCAGGTCTCCAGTTTTGGCCTGCAGGATCTGAACACCGACAAATAACACAGTAACAAAGTTAATATTTCTGCTAATTGAAACATTTCCACACCTGGTAATATCTATTTGTAAATAATTATGTTCATACATATGATCGAGGAAACTTTCCTTGAAGTGTTAGATGAAGCTGTAAATAAGGTATCAATAAGGGGATGTTTTTTATTGCTGTGTGGTGATTGGAATATCAATCTATTAGAGGAAAATACCCATCAGAAGGCTTTATTAAGTTTACTATTAGCTAACAATTTACAAAATACAGTTTCATGTCCAACCAGAGTCACTTCTAATTCATGTTCTTTGATAGACGTCATGATCAGGAATAAGATATTCTATCATTCAACTACAAAGGTTGTGGAACTGGGATTCTCTGACCATTTTGCGTTGCTCATGAACACACTAGTAAATAGCCGTTCCACCTTTTCGGAATATGTTGTAAAAAGAATCTTCTTAGAGAGAAGTATCGCCATTCTTAACGGTCAGTTAAAACTGAACTATGGGATTATGTTTATTTTCAATATGATGTAAATAGAACCTACAGTTCCTTTTTAACTATGTTTCTTAAGTACTTTTTGCAAATCTTCCCTTTAAAACATGTCTCAAATAAAAAAGGGAAAAATCAGGCTGGATTACTCGAGGGATAAAAGTCTCCAGACAGAGGTTGCAATTATTATGTTTGTTAAAAAGAAAGATGTCTGTCTGTTTCTACTTTGAATTACATAAAGAAATATCAGATAATTTATAGGAAAGTGATATCTGATGCTCAAAAGAGAAAATGTCCGAATCATTATGCGACATACAAAAGCACTATGGCAAATAATAAAGAAGGAATCAGGAAATTATTACAAAGCTAATAATAATATTTCTTTAGTAATAGGCTCTATGTCAGTTACAAATCCCCAGCATATATATCTTATCAATTTAATGATTTTTTTGTCGATAATGTGGATAAGTTGATGATCATGTCTCCGTCAATAACATAATACATAATCCAAATCCATTGTTTCTGGTAACAGTTACTGAAGAAGAGGTTCAAAAGGTCACCAGTAAACTAAAAGGGAAATTTTCTGCGGGGCTATCGTGAGATTCCGGAAATGATAGTTAAACACTGTATACATTATATTATAAAGCCCTTAACTTTTATAATTGATTTATCATTAAGTTATGGTATCTTTCCAAACCTAATGAAGATCACTAAAGTTCGGCCCATTTTTAAAAAAGGACAGAAACAAGAAATTTCCAACTTTAGACTAATTTCAATCCTGCCCATATTTTCTAAAATTCTTGAAACGTTAATGCATAACAGGGTTGTGAGTTTTTTAAATAAATTCAACTTGATCTTGGATGCTCAAAATGACTTCAGAAAGAATATATCTACTCTTACTGCAATCCAAATTTTTATCGATGAAATTTAGAAAGCTTTAGACAATAAACGATTTGCCTTGGGCATATTTTTAGATCTATCAAAGGCTTTTGACATTATTAATCATAATCTATTGCTTTTGAAACTGGAGCTATATGGGCTGAGAGGATAATTATGCATGGATGAGTTCATATCTCACTGACAGAATTCAGTTTGGTGATATTCAACATGTGGATCAGAATACCTCTAACTTAGGCTGGGGCCACACAAGTGCACAAAATGCGTCCATTGTAACGAATGTCGTGACGTCCATTGTAGAAATAAACAAGAGAGGCAAATGCTACGCTTTCTTCTGGCTCCATTGCAGACAAAAAAACTACGCACCGCATTCTGCAACTGTGTGGTGTCCTCAGCAACGTCCATCATAAAGTATGCTCATTGCAATGGACGTACTTCATGCACTCATGTGGCCCCAGCCTTAAAGACATTTACTTCATCAGTCAAGGCTATAAAACATGGCATACCTCAAGGTTCTGTTTTGGGACCCCTATTATTTTTATTGTTTATAAATGATTTGCCCCTAGCTATTCACGAGGCTAAGGTCATATTATTTGCTGATGATACAAATATACTACTTACTGACAATAATCTCTTACCATTAAATGAAAAAATCCTAAATGTTAGAAATCAATTAGAAAATTGGTTCCATGAAAATCATCTCGTAATAGACATGGATAAGACTAAAGTATTATTCTTTCATGCAAGACCTACTCCAATCTATAGATCTGTTTTTTGCTCAAATAATGATAGAATTTATTCATCGAATGTAAAATTTTTGGGTATTTGTATTACTGAATATCTAAGCTGGGCAACTCACACTCAATATGTATGTCAAAAGCTCAACAAGGCTCTTTATTTGATTAAATCCTTATGTGACCCAGTAAGCCAACCTGTATTAAGAAATGTCTATTTTACTAAGTTTGAGTCTGTATTGAAATGTGATATTATTTTTTGGGGTGGGGGCTTAAGGACTCTGAAACTATATTTAAAATACAGAAAAAATGTCTAAGAGTGATTACAGGTGTTAATAACAGAGTATCCCGTAGAAATATGTTTGGTGAATTTAAGATTTTAACTGTTGCCTCATTATATAGAGATTTTATGCTTTATAATAAAGAATAAGATATACACAACTCAGTATTCTGACATTCACAGATAAACTACCATACATAAACATAATTTGTATGTCCAATTTTGTAATACCAACTGTTGCAAGAAAGGTGTAATTAATATGGGAACTAAAATATTTCATTTCCTTCCCCTTGAATTGAAAAGTGTTAAAAATTTTAATGTTTTTAAGAGAAAACTAAAAAAAAATTATTTGTTGTGCAGCGCTTTCTATTCTCTTCATGAATTTTTCAACTAATGTTGGATTGATGACTAGCTTGTTGATTGTCTTTTGGTTTGCAATTTTTAATATTGTGTTTACATGTTTTATATTAATGACATTTTTCTTTTGGTCTTCTGTATTTTTTATTATTATGTTCCTTATAACAGTTGCTATATTATAGTGATAAATCACTGTGTAAATTTTATGTGACTTTGACATGTGACGTATTCGTTATTATTTCTTGACATGTCCAATTGTATTCACCTCAGTTATGGACGAAAATAAAGTTGAAAGTTGAAAAAATGAAAAGCAAGATTGCTAGATGGTTAATTCAGAAAGATGATACAGAACAAATCAAATTCAATCACATGCACAAGAGCAAATATTCTAATTGAATCTATGATAAATAATAATGTTGAATGATGCATGCCAATTTCTTTCATTTCAGAGATCTCAGTTTTCATTGTTACTATCATTGCGCTGTGTTTGTTTTGTATAATGCCATAAATCAACTGAGTGGATATAAAAGCTGATCTCGAAATTACAATCCGGTTGCCAGCACTGTAGTAGTGAGAGATTTAAATCCCATATTCCAAGAAGATAAAGCTTAACTATAACAGTCTCTCAATGATCTTCAGTAAATCAAACTCACCACGGCCCCACGAAATTTGTGTAGGGCTACTGAAGTGACCTCAATTGGAATCAGTATTCTACAGAGATCAGCCACAAATAAGGAAAATCACTACCATGTATAGTGAATCTGTGAATGTGCAGAGATGATGGTAAATATTTTTAAAAGATTCTTAACAAGCTAATAGTCATCCTGTAATTAACTAAGAAAAACTGAACGTTCTAAAACATCACCTCGTTTATTAGACTTATTGTACAAGATGTTTTTTCTTAATTACAGACTGTATTTAGTAAACACTGCAAAATATGCAACACACATCTCTACACAAATCGGGTAGCCAAGGCTAAAAGTTTAGTATAATCAGCACCTTTAACTACATTCTTCTTTTTTAGTATAGTTCGAAGAATTTGAGGAATGGGAACATGAATTCTAGTCCCAAGAGGAGTACCATTATCATCAATCAGCACCACATTATTGCTATCAAATTTAGGAATTAAGGCACGCTGATTCTGCTTAACTCCAACAAGGATTCCTTTCTTTTTCTCACCCTTTATAGCCAGTAAGACCTTGTCACCTGTGAAAGAAATACATATATGTAAGTTAGAACTATATCAACCTTTCATTAGACCAGTCATTATTCCTTTTTTTTTTTTGTTCATATTATAACAAGTTATAAAGCTGAGAATAATAACTATGAAAATGTAATGGACTTTGTAAACAATAAAAAACTATGTCTAAAAGGAATGGAAAGTATGTAATATAAACAGCCTTGACACTAAAACAGAAAATTTTCAGAACTTCTTCTTTAATGATGAAAATGCTATGACATGAAATGATATTGTGACATGTTTCACATAATTAATTACCTCATGTGTGACAGATGAACATTCTGGCAACTTGTAAATCTGGTTCTTTAAAGCAGAGAACTTTAAAATGTTTTCTACAGTAGCATCAATGTAAAATGTTTGTTTTTCAAGCACTTCATTGATATGATCCCTATGTATACCTTACATTTAAGTATTTCTAATGAAAACAGTATATTTTATTATTATAAATCTTAAAATGAAAACACATAATTCATTTCAGGATGATTTATAATTACAGGAAAATACTGACATTAATTAAGGCTGCCTGTTTCTTATTACATGAGTTACACTTATTTACTCATTGGGAGTTGGTTCAAGTAACTGTGGCAAAACAGAACACATCATGGACTGAGACCATAATATCAAATTTCATAACAATTTTCTGTCGCTTGCTGTGAACTCATAGTAATGACAAGACCTTTTTCCAATTGTAAGCTCAGAGGCACGACTGAAGAGTACGTGTGATGAAAACTTCCATGCCATAGTAACACAATACTGCACATATTAGTGCCACAGAACAGTGCATGTAGAAAGATTCTGCAATCTTTGTTCATCAAATGTGTTGAGCCATAACCTGCTTACACCAGGCACCCAATCCTATATTGCAGATCTATGTTAAGCTTGTTGAGGCTAGAAGAAGACATAATTGAGGGCAATGACAGCTAACCAGAAGTTAGGATGAAAAGAAATGCTGAAAGTTTACAGAAGAGTATTTCATCTCAGGACAGGACTTGGTGATTTTTCACATCAACAAAGGTATTTATTACTGCTGGAATACTTGTAATACTGGCTATTGAAAACTTATTTTTTACTTCCTCTTAAATAATACAAAGTTTAGCAAAAATTAAATTAATGTTCCTAAGTGAAACATACTGCTGTACCTTGGGGCATACCTTGTAAATTTGGGCATTCTTTTACATCAATAAGCACATTACAAGACGTGTGAATACATGAAAATCAATAAGCCTATACATTTAAGGCACAGAAAAAATCAATGTAACAAAACATACGAGTACATAAGTAAATACACTGAAACAATTTTTAAATGCACATAACAAATACAATCTGGAGGACAGATACCTGTCACTGATATTTACTGCTGCCATCTTCAGGCCACTTTCTTAACTACTAACAATGATCCCTATTCCTGCATCACATACATAATGTAAGAGATTTGATCAATATGTTGCCAAGCAACAGCTCTGTAAACATGGCCCAATATGCAACAATAGAGGAAGCTGTTTTTTCTGTGTCTGTCGTGACATCACAACAGTGGACAGTGATCATGTGACATGTGTTTTCTGTAGATCCAACCAACCCACCAATAGGCTGGCTGGATAGCAACCACGTGATATGTGTTTACTCTAGGTCCATGTCCATTCCTCAGCCATGTAGTTACAAATTACGAATAATAGCAGCAGAAGCACGCAAGCAAGCAGATAGCCACGGGACATTCATAGTTAAAGAAGAACTAAAAGTCGGCCTGTGAAGACTTAACGTGTGATTAAGGCCACACCATAGCCCAAGCGGTTAGTCGCTTCCCACGGTGGCTGCCCAGGTTTGATCCCGGGTCTGGTCTAGTGGGATTTGTGATGGACAAAGTGGCAGTGGGGCAGGTTTTCTCCGAGTACTTTGGTTTCCCCTGCCAATCTTCATTCCGCCAACTGCTCCACGATCACCCTCACCATCATCTGGGGCTGGTACAATAGGCCAGAAGTGGCTGCAGTACAAGGGACTTAGTCCCACCCCATTAGCAGTAAAAAAAAAATAACATGTGATTAGAAGACTTCATTTATGTGCAATATTTGGAGTGTGCGATTCAGTGTGTAATTGCCATGCTATAAGCCCATTAAGAGTAGTGCAGACAGGCTGAAGAGATTAGTGAGGAGTCATTGTACATTGTGTAAAGCAGCAATAATGTAATAATTAATTGTAGTTATGACCTTAATGTTATTAACAAAACCAATTATCAATAAAAACCCGCACCTTAGTCACTGTGACATGTGACAATACTTACCCAATCATAATCTGTATCCTATTATATACACAGATTATTATTGCTATTGTTAGTGTTGTGATTGCTGTTTTCTATGTGAGAAGAACTAATTACTTAAGTACAAATTGTGGCTACATTAATCTTTTTAGATATAAATCCAAAAGACATACAAAGTTACATGCATACATACATACGAAGGGCGTTCCGTATATAACGCCTCCTATTTTTTTGTTAATATATAACGTCTGAGCTAGATTTTGGTGGTGTTGTAGTAAAGGTTGAACCTTCCCACCAATGTACTGTTAGTTTGGTTGTCGTGCGATAGATAGCGACAGCAGAGCAGTCCACCAAAGTGGCGTCTGACACAGAAGTGTGTATGAAGCAGATATATGTTATTGAATTTCTCACTGCCAAACAAATTGCACCCACTGACATCCATCGACGCTTGCTAAAGGTGTACAGAGACAATACAGTGGATGTCAGCACAGCGGCAAAAGTGAAGTGCACAACAAGCCACACCCTGGGAGTCCCTGCTCAGCTGCCACTCCTCACAATGAACATCATCTTGATCAGCTCATATGTACAGATCGGCGGATAACGACCAGGGAACTGTGTGCACAGCTTAATATCGGCTGTAATGCATTGGAAATGATGTTGGGGAAGCTGGATTATCAAGTTTGTTCCAGGTGGGTCCCGCGGATCCTTACACAGGATCATAAAACTCATCGAATGGAAGTCTGTCAGGACATGCTGCTCCAGTTTGAGGATGAAGGTGACAAGTTTCTGGACAGCATCATCACCACAGATGAGACATGGTGTCACTACTACGAGCCAGGACAGTCCATAGAGTGGTGACATCAGGATTCCCCAAGAAAGAAGAAGTTCAAATCACAGCTACTGGCAGGGAAAATGATGTGCACCGTCTTTTGGGATAGGTGGGGTTTGATTCTGTTGGATTTCCTGGAGCCTGGTGAGACTGTCAATTCTGAACGCTATAAGGTGACGCTGACTAAGCTGAAAGCCCGCATTTCCCAAGTCAGGCCAGAGAAGCAGACAACCTTTCGCTTGCAGCATGGTAACACTAGACCCCATATCAGTTTGGAGAACACTGCGCACATTGCAAAGTTTGGCTGGACTGTCCTACCACATTCACCTTATAGCCCTGATTTAGCACCTTCAGACTTCCATCTCTTTGGGCCTACGAAAGATGGAATACATGGGCAACATTTTCCAGACAACGATGCTGTCATTGCAGCTGTAAGAAAGTGGCTAGCCTCTGCTGGCGCAGAGTTTTACAGGCGAGGCATACAGGCTCTTGTTCATCGCTGGCAAAAGTGCATAACGAATGGTGGTGATTATGTGGAAAAATAACTGTAAGTAGCTGAAATCTTGCTCTATTTAACTGCGTTATTATGCTTTCTGTATCTGTTGTAGTTTTCATTAAAAAAATAGGAGGCATTATATACGGAACACTCCTTGTACATCAGCGTTTTAGAGTATTCATAAGTGTGCAACTGGCACTGAATATAAAACTTGTCAAACAACAGTCACAAGACAATCACAGAGACAGCAACTCAACCAGAGTTAAAATCTAAACTGAATACCTCAGTTAAATAGATACAATGTTACACATACAGTTACACCAACAAGATAATTAGCAATACATAATAATTCTCCTTCCTTCTCATATATACATATGCATGCAATGAAGACACTATAGTTGTGACATATTTAGATAAAAATTGAACAGTAATATAATGAAATATACCTAAATAAACATATTTCTGACTATAAATCCTTACAATAAAGCAACAATTAATCAACTGAATAAAACGAATTATTGATTAATATTTCTTTTAGTTTTCCTAGGAAAAGTTTCCTGTCTTGTACCAAACCTCTTACATAGAGAGGCAAACTGCTGAAAATTTTAACACACATATAATAAACTCCTTTTTGCCTTACTGCTAAATGTGACTGCAATACATGCAGATTCCCTCTGTGTCTTGTGGTCTTATTAGGGACTGCATCATTAAAAATAAAATACTCAAGATTACTTATCATAAAAATCATCAAAGATAATATATATTGGGAGGCCAATGTTCAGTTTTTTAAATACCAGCCTGCATGTATCTCTTTGTTTCAATCCCATCATCATCCTAGCAGTTCTCTTCTGTGAGAGAAAAATCTTCTTAGCATCTGGTGAGTTACCCCAGAAAACTATACCATATACCTTATGAGTGAATGAAAATATGCATTATTGTGCCCTGAAGGCTGACTCCCGGTAATATGTTAAAGGAGTATTTAACTTTTCTTATTTTAGGGGAAAATGTTGGCCAGAATAGAATTAGTTTTGGGAAATACTTGTAAGACGTATGAAAGAGGGTGTAACAAGGGTTAAGAAACTTCAAGGAATTTCTGTGTATGGAGTTAGACAAACGTTAGCCTTTGACGTGTCTATGTCCTGTCAGCAGAATGACGTTGAAGGTACATCAAAATGCTAACTGCAAAATCTACACTTGAGTGATAGAGGGGATGTTTGCAGGTAAAAGTGTTAGCCAAATGGACTAGCAGAAAAGGAGCGTATCCACCCCTATGGATCCCAGCCAACGAGAGCAGACACCTTGGGACAAGATGTCATTGTAGGCGGGCTTGCACCCTCCGGGAAAGTAACGAGTTAGCAAGAATAAAGGTATATAATCCGGAGAGCAAATTATTATTAAAGATGATTCAAACAGTAATTTTGGCCAATTTTAGCCGGAGGCTATGCTGGAAGAAGCATCAACTAGATGCCGGGCGACGCCATCCATCTGCAGTCTCAACGTAAAGTCAGTGAAACTACTCTTATCGCCATGCTTAATAATTGTGATATTATTGAAGTGTAACTTCCCCAATAGGACTTGAGTTAGGAACGTTACAACAAGTGTACAGGGCGTAAGAGTGATTCATCAGAGAAATGCAGAGGTAGACATGTGTAATATAGAGGCTGCAGAGGGTGTGTCCAGCTGCAGGGATGAGTAAAGATATATATATATAGTGGATGAGTAGAATAGGAGAAAGAGGAGACTAGCGACCTGCAACTGGGTGAAAGGAAGGCTAAGATGAGGTCCAAGAATCGTCTAAGGAGGTGCAATGTGTAATCTGACACCAGTCGGCTCTTTAATTGTGATATTACTAAAATGTATATAATTGTGTATTGATTGTTTATACTAATATAAGGTAGCATAGGGTGAGAATGTGTGTTTCTGTTAATGTGATTTCCTCCCTTACCACATTTTGCACCTGCGCCCTCCTGCCAAGCCCAGTGAACAGTGTGCCCCTAGCCAATGAAGCAATGATAGAGGAAGTCATCTAGTCATTTCCTTAGCCGGCCCCCCCTGTGACTGCAGTACATGCATGATATATCATCCTAAGTGTTTCAATATTACTGCACAACTTTTTCTTAATGCGAAGCATGCCTTGCCCAATCTGGGTAACACTGATTTAACGTGTGTTTTCCAGTTTAAAAACTTATCTATTTCAAGGCCCAAAAATTTGATATTCATTGCATCATATAATATCTCATTTTTATAATGCAATTGCATTGGCTTATTTGCATGATTAATTGTTTCAAATTTTAACAATTTAGTTTTCTTCATATTTAAAGACAGGCCATTACTTGTAATCCAAAGGTTTAAGGAATTTAACACATGTCTGAACTTTGTTTGGATATCCTGGATATTATCACCAGATACTAATACATTTGTATCATCCGCATACAATAACAACTTGATATCGGTATTTAGGCCTAGTGATAAATCATTAATATATAAGAGACACAGCAAGGGACCTAATATCGATCCTTGCAGCAATCCACATTTAACAGTTTTCCAACCTGAACAAATTTTCCCTTTCTCACTATTGTTCAATTCAACTGTTTGTTTCCTACCCTCCAGATAGGACTTAATCCACATTATGGTTTTACCACAAATACCATAGACAACCAATTTGCTCAGAAGAATTATCATGAATGACACAATCAAACACCTTTGTTAGATCACAAAAAATTCCTAATATTTGTCTATGCTGATCTAAGTTTTTAAGATATGATTAGTTAAGGTGTAGATCGCTGTTTCCGTAATCCTATTTTCCCTAAAGTCAAACTGTTCAGATGCAATCACATTATTTGTATTTATGTGCTGCTTTATCCCATTATAACATACATCACTATTTCAAGTAAATTAGAAAAGGTTGTCAACAATGATATTGGTCTATAATTTGATATATGACTTCTCACCTGTTTTATATATAGGTCTTAATGATGCATATTTCATTCCTTCAGGACAGATACCCTGTTTAAGGGATGCATTAAATATGTAACTAAGTGGCTTGCTTATCTCGTCTATACAATATTTTAATATTCTACTAGAGACACCATCATACTCTGTAGAATTTTTTGGTTTCAGTGACTTCATTATATTCTTTAATTGTGCCTCAGTTACAGGGATTAATTTCATTTCTGGTATTTTATCATACTTGGAAGTACTGAGCAATTTATTAGCTTCATTTGTATCAAAATTCGTAGTTACCAATTTCTCTGCTTATTTACTTACTTACTCATGGAGCTGAGCCCTTCTTGAGGAGCCGCCAATTCTGCAGCTACTCAAGAATTTCCCAGCATTTTATGGAACCCGAAGGTTCATCACCGTGTTCACAAGAGCCCTCCACTGGTCCCTATCCTGAGCCAGATCTATCCAATCCATAGCATCCCATCCTATCTCTCTTAGATCCATTCTGATATTGTCCAACCACCTACGCCTTGGTCTTCCCTGTGGTCTCTTTCCTTCTGGCTTTCCCACCAATATCCTATACGCATTCTTCGTCTCCCCCATTCGTGCTACATGACCTGCCCACCTCATCCTCCTTGACTTGATCATTCTAATTATACTTGGAGAAGAGTACAAGTTATGAAGCTCCTCATTATGCAGTTTTCTCCAACCTCCTGTGACTTCATCTCTCTTTGGTCCAAATATTCTCAACACCCTGTTCTCAAACACCCTCAGTCTATGTTCCTCCCTTAATGTCAGAGACCAAGTTTCACACCCATACAGAACTACAGGCAAAATTATTATTTTGTATATTCTAATTTTTATGTTTTTGGACAACATATGAGAAGACAAAATGTTATGGACTGAATGGTAGCAAGCATTACCAGAGTTCAATCACCTCTTAATTTCCTCCTGAATCAGGTTTCGATCTGTTATCGTTGTTCCCAAATATCTGAACTGTGCCACATTTTCAAAACATCTGTTTCCTATCTTTATGTCATGATTTTGCCCTGCATTTTGGTTATGAGACCGTAATATATACTTAGTTTTCTCTGTGTTTACTTCTAGACCAACCTCATTACTTGCGTCAATTAAAGTTTGTGTGTTTTTCTTTATGGTATCTACATGATCACCCAGTAGATTCACAACATCTGCGTAGACCAACATCTGATGTGTCCCATTTAGTTTCAGTCCCACCTGGTTTCCCGGGACCCTCCTAATTGCATATTCTAAGGCGAAGTTGAAAAGGAGTGGTGATAAACCATCTCCTTGTTTCAGACCATTCTGGATAGGAAATTTCTCAGACAAGTGTTTACCTACACGGACTTTACTATACGTTTACCAATTTTGCTGCTATTGTTGTAAAATACTGATTAAAAGAAGTGGCTAATTCGTTAAGACAACTGATTGAAAACAATATTTTGCAGATAATTTTCAAGTATGTACCAATTGTTCCAACCTCCTTCTTGTTATAAACGTGAATACATTTTGGTGGTTTTCCCTCAGCCATTGCTTGTTTTCCTATTTCACTGTTGTCCACAACTCGCAACCGCGTTAGTTTGATGACATGACTGCAAGCAGGAGATGTGTGAAAAGTTTGGCCCACACTTCTGAGTTTTGGAAATTTTCTCCACATAATTAAGGGCCATCCCATTTTTGTACAAGCCTAAAATAGAAACAAACCATGTTACACTTACATATCTTACATATATCTTCATTTCATCATCACCATCAAAATCAATCACGGCTACAACGGCAAAGAGAACAATTTCGGACAATCGCTCATTCCAGGTGAAAAAGAATCCTCCCTTCTTCAGGCATGTCTTATATCTCCATATTTTAGAACTCTTTTTGATGTACTCAATTTGAACCCATTTTCAGAAGATGTGAATCGTATTTCTCCTTCTTCTTCTTGCATTCTTTCTTCCAGGTCAAAAACTTCTATGTAGGTTCTATGTGGGGATCTCACATCAGTGGTTATGAAAAGTTCTAACCTCTGGGGCATAATGAAGTGTAATGTGGTGAAAGAAACTAGCATGAAGCAGAAAGGAAGCAGCACTTTCCTTCCCCTGCTGCCCGCTGGTCTCTAGCTTGACTTATTCTTTGTCATTGTCATTTATTTAGTTCCAAAAAAATCCATAGAGGCATCTGCCTCAGATACAGAACAAGTCAATAATACAATATAACATATAAATATACATACATAATCAGACAGTCATCATCATCAAAATTTAAATACTCAGTACCACAAAACTACTGTACCACAATACATTGACCCTGATAATGGAGGCAGTATCTTCCTCCAAAACGTAGGCCGTCTTTCACTGGACTACACAGCGTTACATCCCAGAAGACAGAACTAACTAACTAAATTCATGGAGTTAAGCATTTCTTGAAAAGATGCCAGTCACACAGCTACTATAGAAGTTCCCAAGATTTTATGGAACCAAAAGGTTCATTACCATGTTTCACAAAAGCCCTCCATTAGTCCCTATCCTGAGTCAGATAAATCCAGTCCATATCACCCAATCCTATCTCTCTAAGATCAATTAATATTTCCCACCCACCTACGTCTTGGTCTTCCTAGTGGTCTCTTTACTTCTGGTTCCCCATCAATATGCTACACGGATTCCTCTTCTCTCCCATTGGTGCTACATGCCCTCCCCATATCCACCTTGACTTGATCATAGAACAAACCAAACAAAAAGTAGTTTCGGTTTGTGGAATGTTAGGTTAACACAGTCGGTTGTATCCGTGATGTATTATAAGACTCAGACGCAATACACGTTTGTTCATGGAAAAAAGGCCCATATACTAATCCATACACAGTTCATCAATTACACATACAAGACCCGAATTTCCAGACCTGAATATGCTCTTCCGCAAACGTACAACTACAATCCTCTTCTACTTTCTTCCATCATGACAAGACACAAGAGCATCAAAACGATCAAAACCATCAAAATCTTACCACCGCTTGGATAACTTGGATTACCAGGCCGTACTAGGTACTAAACACGCTAAACACTAAACAGCTAACACAGCTAAACAGCAATCGGTGCAACGGGTGCAACTGTCATAGGGAAGGGGGAAACAATGGATCTCCTGCCATCTCTACGCAGACGGACCGAACTAGAGAGTCAGAACCAATCACAATTCAACTATTGCAATATATCGAATCGCATTTGTGTGACCCAATCCCAGTACACCGTTTGCAATAGATTGTCAGTTGGTGGTGGCGGTAGTTATCGAAAACTTAAGTTTCTTAGTTTGCGGTTGATTGGTAAGTAAAGAATTTGATTTGATTTGATGTAGTGAAAAATTCCTGTTAAGATATTTCTGTAGGTTATGCATCTTTGGATGTAGGATAAAGAAGTTCTGTAGAATCTCGAAACTCACCGTGTACTGTGATTGTGTTATAATATCTACTGTTTCTTGCAGGATAAATGGGAAACAATAAATTTTGAACTGCCCCAGGGTGCTCGTCATCCAGTAGGCCGACAGGTTTGAAGCTCTTCAGCTTTCCCAGGGATTCAGCGAGGTAAGTCTGTTTTAATGCATGATGTAATGGCTTTATTATGTATTGCTTAATCCAACGGAGAAATTAAGTTTAGCTAGTGTCTGTATTAAATGTATTAAACCTTACCCATCACCGTAGCAGGAAGAGTTGGGATATCCTGGACTATTGATTCTGCTAGAATGCTGCACTATAAATTTTTGTGTAGTAGAAAGTGATTTCACTACAGCTGAACAGATTCACAGTTCCATGTAGCTCAGATTCTGCAGCACAATCACTCCCACAACCTCCTGATGCTTCATTACACACAATTTCAGGTAAGCGCAATAGGCTTCGAATGCAGTGGCTAATAATGAGGACTGGTTTTCAAAGTTGTTGTCCCCAGAACCCAGTTGTAATCAAACAAACGTCATTATCATTTATTACTACTGAAACTGTATATCAGTATACAGGTCATGAATAATTAAAAAATGTTTGAAAAGCAGAACATTCATTCAGTAATATGATTTATGAGAGAATGAGGTGGTAAAGACTTTACTATGAGGAGTAAAGTAACCAGTAAACAAATTTTTTTATAGAGGCAGTGTGTTGTAAAGTACTATGTGTTATTTCCCAATGCAAAGAATTATGGTAATCCACGATGTAAGGAAGCACTAATTTCGCATTTTTCTTTTGTTCATTGAGGAGGGTGCTGCAGTGAATACCTGGTAACAACTACGTTTATTGAGGAGGTTGACAAACTCAGAGTTTTAAATGGTGGAACATGTGTTGCCCACTAAACAATAACAGTCTCCAGTATAGAGCACTCGTTATCCCCTTCAGCAGGAAACACTGAGAAGAAGGATCAATATCAGGATTCAGTGGGGGTAGGACATTTTGTGTAATTTATTTACCTAGTTTGTTTTTGGTATATTCTGTTTCATTATTATGGGTGCATTCCTTCTAATAATTTATTTAACTATTTTATTATTTTTATATTATTATTCTGTTTTATTATTATGGGTGTATTCCCTATTTTTCTCCATATTACTCTGTCCAGTACTGAACTGGTGAACATGAATATAAGATTTCCAATAATCATTGCATTTCCTTAAGATTAATTATTAATTTTGCCAAATATTCCTGTCCAGTGCTGTAATGGAAGATGAATATCAGATTTCCAATATTCTGTAAAATATTATAAATGGTTAATTAATTCCATCCAGAGTGACTGATGTCCAGTCACAGTGGACAGATATAATTAACCTTTTATAATATTGTTAGTGTGACGGACCAGGATGAANCTATTTTATTATTTTTATATTATTATTCTGTTTTATTATTATGGGTGTATTCCCTATTTTTCTCCATATTACTCTGTCCAGTACTGAACTGGTGAACATGAATATAAGATTTCCAATAATCATTGCATTTCCTTAAGATTAATTATTAATTTTGCCAAATATTCCTGTCCAGTGCTGTAATGGAAGATGAATATCAGATTTCCAATATTCTGTAAAATATTATAAATGGTTAATTAATTCCATCCAGAGTGACTGATGTCCAGTCACAGTGGACAGATATAATTAACCTTTTATAATATTGTTAGTGTGACGGACCAGGATGAAACAAATCAAAATTCTGTAAGATATGTTGTTATATTTGCAATTTATTCTTGTCCAGTACTGTAGTGGAAGATGAGTATCAGATTTCCAGTATTCTGTAAGATATATTATTTTGCCATATAATCCTCTAAATTACTGAAATGAAAGATGAATATTAGATTTCAGTATTCATTGTAATTCTGTAAGATATGTTGTAATTTTGCCATATAATCATGTCCAGTACTGAACATCATTCTAATGAAATTAATAATAAATGGAAACATCAGTATTACTGCTTGCCATATATGATTTATAATGCTTTAATGTAACCAAAAAACTATGTTCTGTGTGGCTTTCAAGTGTAAGTTGTTACCAAGGTGTGAGGTTGAATAGAAGTATGTCTGATGGAAACATAATTTTCTTTCAAATAAACAAATAAACCACCAAGCACCAGCCCCGACAACTTGCAACCCACGGAGTAGTACAAATTAGGGTGGAGAAATAGCTAGACCCCACCTTCAGCTTTCCTAAACACAAGTATTCTATGTATGTTATAGTTCACAATGTTCAATGCTTTTGGGTAAGAAGACGTTGGATTGGCATGAATGAAATGTTATGACTTTACAAGCACTGGTGAGAAACTTTCTGATTTTGCAACCCTGACGTCTTGTGCTGCAGAGGTTCTTACTCCCCACATTTCTAGACAATTGGCTTACAAATGGTGGTGAGGTTGCCAGCCTTATGTGCTTGCTGCCCTTTACCCCTGGGAAGATTCATGGTATTCATTTCTGTGTTGACACCAGGGCCATAGTGCAGCTGGAAGCATTAGGACAATTGAAATAGCCAACATCAGAAACTGGACCTGCAACCTTATGGCTTGTAGCATACTGCCTCAGTCACATATATGTAACCGTATGCCCCCATCATATACTGTATCTATACATAAGTCATAACAGAATGAAATACATCATGCTACAATACTGCATGTAGCTTAGGTCATGTTGAAGTGTTATGTTAACAGCCAGTAGGCTATGTGTGCCCCCCCCCACACCGCAGCTGCTTATACCAGGATATGTGGCCATTTTCAACCTAGTATAAGAGAAGGAAATGTGATTAAAACTTGCTTTTCCAAGCACTTCATTTGTTGGTTAAACAAGTCATTGTCTTGTAATGTTTTGCAGCACGTATTAAATTGTGTCCCTAGCAATGTCTTTATCAAAGCCATATTTAGTAGACTGCAAAACAGGAGATTGTTATACAGTATATTTCAAGGCAAGTGGGATGTGCAGTACCCTTTCTCCAAAAATATATCTAATATCATACTTCTCATTTGCCAGCAGTCTTTGTAAAGCATATTATTCACAATTTTTAAAACTTCAAGAAGTGACATTTTTGTATAAAAGGACAGCGAAAATAAATTGAAAATTACAAGAAATAATTAGCAGGATTTAAACATGTTTCAATCTTTACTTTATACTGTAATTAATGAAAATCTGATTGGATTTAGGGTTCTCACAGTAGTCACTATGAAGAACACTTGTCTCCTGAAAGAAATAATTTCTTGCTCAATTTACTCTCTGATGCTGAAGATAGGGGCAATAGGCTCCTCTGAAACAGTGGTGGACTTCTACCTGGCATTACATCCCAGAAGATAGTTCTCTTCAGTCATATAGTCACGTAAGTAACAGTAATTTGATGAATGCTGAAAATTCGTAATGAAACATACATTTCCAATGATTCTGGATGTTCACACACATGTATATGCGCACTTCATGGCGACTGGTGAACCCCCCCCCCCAAAAGTGCATATGAATTTTGCCAATGAATCAGAATGTCTGATGGCTGATAACATCTGCAATGAAGTCATCAGAAATCACAGATCACAAAAAGCACTGAAAATGCTGCCCCTCTACACGTAGATATCTTTCACAATTTTTATTAAAAAAAAGAGGTACAATTGTTCTTGCACTTACAGCACACCAGACACCAACTTTCACTGGATGGAGCGGGACTTCGTGGTTTTGATGTGGATTCTGTGAACTCAAGTAGCGATTATTTTGTGTATTTATGTTTCACCAGAAAGGATGTTGTTACCGTTCTTACAGTAGACTTTGACATGCCAGTCTCTTAAAACAGTTAGATGTTTCAGTGATTTTCTAGGTGTATGTTCAAGTCTGGCCCCTTTGTCATCTAACTTCTATACACTTATGTTCTTGTTTTTTGTCTATTAAAGAGTCCTGTTTTAAGTTTATTTACCGAATTGTGAATTGTTTGTCTGCTAGAAGCTCCATCATGAAATTTTTGCCAACACTTTCTAGTAGATCTGTACTTCACATAAGTGTCATATGTAACTGAGAACAAATGACTAATGAAGCTGATAACTGCTGCCTACTGCTGACAAATTATAAACAAAGTCCTATGCGTGAACTGCACAACTTGCCCTAAAACCCATCAAGTGTTCCAAAAGTTAATTACTTTTCTTAATTTGAAATGTTATTGGCTATCAGGCATGCTGATTCTTCAGCAAAATTCGTATGTACCTCACAGCTGGTGAAACAGAGCTGTAAACCAGTCAATAAAGTTTAAGTTATATATATAAGGATTTTGGAGTTCTATCGAGGTGGCCGAGCAGAGCGGACGTGTATAGAACAACACTCCGTGAGGCACGTGCTTTATAGTGGAAGCAACAACAGCAACGGTTCCTGAGGCAACCGACCCAACCATCCCAACACACAACAAAAAAAAGTAAACAATACTATCATAGGATGTCATCAACTAGTGAAGATGATGTACCATTCAGGATTCAAACGAAAACACATGGCAAAAAGTGAAGAACACAAAAAGAAGGAAGATAAATCAACCTGTCAGTCAAAACATAACCTTAACAAACAAATATAGTCAACTAAATGTAGAAGATGACGAAAACACCACCACCAAAATAATAGAGAATAAAATCCAGAAACCACCTCCAATATTTGTATATGGAGTAACAAACTATCAAGACATGGTACATAACCTGTGCAGCATAGTTGAAATAGAACAGTACACTACCAAAACCTTAGTAGAAAACACTGTAAAAATTAACTGTCATACTCCAGACACCTATCGTAATCTTGTACGATATACGTGTATGCGTGAAAAGAATATTATACATCATACATACCAACTGAAGGAAAATCGTGCCTTCAGGATAGTTATTAAACATCTACATTTTTCAACTAACCTACAAGAAATTGAACAAGAACTGAATAAAGGAGGACACAAGGTAAGAAACATAAATGCAAGAAGCCGGATGACCAAAGAACCACTTAACGTATTTTTTGTTGATCTAGAACCTGCCACTAACAACAAAGAAATTTACAAACTAGCAAGACTACAAAACCAAACAATTGTAATAGAACCTAGAATAGAGACAGATGACCTGTCATCTGACAAATCACTGATGATGATGATGATGATAACGAGACTGATAAAGAAATAGACAAATATCTGAAAATATCAGCATTACACCATAAATAAAATTTTTTACAGTTAAAGAAGTGCAAAACGAAATACCACTCTTATATTCGAGAAAAACACCTGGCATTGATGAAGTGACTCCAATAATGTTAAAAGAAATGTCAAGAAAAGGGTTAGTACTTCTCACATATATATTTAATGCTATTCCCAAACATAAATACTGGCCAAATCAGCTAAAAACAGCAGAAATAATCCTGATCCTCAAACCAGGCAAAAATCCTAATAAGTGTGTCATCCTATCGTCCTATAAGTTTATTACCCATCATATCTAAGCTCCTCGAAAGACTTCTCTTAAAAAGAGCAAGGTCTGACCCAAATATAGAAGAATGGATACCATCACATCAATTTGTGTTTAGAGAAAACCACTCCACTCTACAGCAGATACACAGAACAACACACAAAATACACCATGCAATAGAAAATAAAGAATATTGCACATCAGTCTTTCTAGATGCAAGTCAAGCCTTTGATAAGGTATGGTATCCAGGACTACTGTACAAAATCAAAAAATATCTGCTCATCACTTATTTCCACTTACTAAAATCCTATATGCCGGTCACGGTAGCCGAGCGGTCTAAGGCATGCACTGTCTTCGCTCGCTCGGAAGCCGAGATCGTGGGTTCGAATCCCACTCAGGGCATGGATGTTTGTGTGCGTTTTTCTGTGTTTGTCTACAGGTAGAGGCCTTGCAACGAACTGATCACTCGCCCAAGGAGTCCTACCGTATGTGTAAGATCTAGAAAAACCGAAGTGAACGGAGAAGTTCATGGAGGTAGGCCTAGGCCCACTGGGGCTGTAGTGCCAAGGAAAAAAAAAATCCTATATAAGTGGCAGAGAGTTCAGAATGAGAATCAATGATAGTGTAATGTGTTTCGTTACTGAATACGCCGTAGAGATTGTTAATTGGTTTATTTAACAACCTACAAGTATCGGCTACAATTATTTATAACAATGTTATGGGTTTCCACACTTTACAAACCCTACAACCAAACCTCTTCACACTATCACGATTCACTCGTTACAACTGAAATCGGTGACTACTACAATTCAACTCGCTTCATGGGCTGCTACACTTTTAACTCGTTCACTCCTGTTGGGTAAATGGAGAACTCTGATCACACACTCACTTCCAACTGCTGACTAACTCGGAACTTGAGAACTGTGTCTCGTAACTAACTTGTAGGCTTGCTCGGAACTAACTGAATAGTCTTCGCTGCTCCGTATCTAGCCTCATTCCGGACAACACAGAAAAACAGCCACATAATAGGCAACACTGTTGTCTGGCGCCGTGTTGCTAGCAATGCTGTCGGGAGTTGTTTACTGCTGCCTAGCAACCGCGGTATCCCTTGGTGACGTCACCGCTAGGCGGGTAGACGAAGGAGTGTTGACTCGCCTGTTACCTTAGTAACGACAGAAATCCGATAGCGTTACATAACCACTGGCGGGGGGAGGGGTATCCCTGCATAGCGCAACACGTCACAATAGTATAACTAACAATTTTGCAATAAAATCAGGTGTACCACAAGGCAGTGTCTTAGGCCCACTACTTTATTTACTGTATACAGCAGACCTACCAGTCAATGCCAACACAATGGGCACATTTGCGGATGATACCATGATCCTCTCAGTCAACACAGATCTAGATCTCTGGATAAGCCCTCTCCACATCACGAAGAATACTACAGCAAATTAGCTTATAGAATCAAACGTAATTCTGATTGCTAACATTATGTAAATAAAAAAATATATATATATAAGGATTTTAACTACTTCTGCACACACATCATTTTGCAGTGTGGCAGAGGTTACATCTTGGTGTGAAATGATAAGAATGCATGCACCTCACTTCCTGCATCCACTGATATGGTTGAAGTTTAACTACAACCGTGGAAGAAACAGTGGGCAAATGTTAATTTCTTGTCTGCCAATAATCCACATATTCACTGAAAAAGTGCATCATGTATCAAAGACCATAGTGTGGGCTGCTGTATCAAGTAATGTGCTATTTAGACAGTTTTTTTTACAAAACTGTGATTGCAAATGGTTTGCTGATAAACAGAATTTATGCAGGATAGTGTCATGCTGCAGACAGCAAGCATTATCTTGGACTCCCTTAATGGCACCTTTACTTCATGTGTAATTTCTGATTTTTATCCTGAACACCTATGTGGAAAGAACTGGTTTAACAGGAAGCCTGACAGTAATCACAAATTCTTTCTGTGGGGATTCATGAAAGAGAAGCTTTCCAAAAATCTAGCCTCAGTGATGAAGCTTCAGGCCATGGTTGTCCAGACGTGCCAGATTACAGAGAACATATGCAAGATCATGAATATACATACATGTGTCTTTCAGAAGTTGTACAGCAGAACAGCAACCATACTTAACACACCTCCACTAAGCACTAATCTCCGTACCTTGGTGGTAAAGTGAGGGAAGTACATATAACAATCAGTGAAAACAGATACAATAGGAGTGCTTATGGAAAGGAAGGTCCAAGAATGACAAAAGCTCTACCATAAGATAACCCACATTGATGGAAACATGTAATGATGATAATGGTGGTGGTGTTGGTAGTGATGTATGATGACCAATACACACCCAAATAAAGTTTTGGTTCATTAATATTAAAAGCATTTATGTCACAACATAAATGTTATTATTCTATAAGCATCAATGGTAAATCCACAGAGTGAAAAAATTAAGGGAAAATATTAGTAAACCACCATCACAAACCTTCAGAACCACACTGAGGTGAAGGACAAAGGTATGTTAACTGAAACAGTTATAATGAAAGTTATGCTGCGATAGGACAAATTGCTTAAAGTTATACAAAACAGAACAAAATTATCTGCCACAGATTGTATAGTTACATGGTAACTTACTGACAAAAACAGTAACAGGAGAATGGTCCTGGTCCCATCATTATCAGCATGGCTCAAAAGAGCAGACTTTGGTGTGTAGATGTGACAAGGAAAGGTTACAGTTATTACATTGTTTTAGTCAACTTGCAGTATCACATTTGTATACTTCATGTATAAACATATTAACAGATTAAAGAAAGTAAGCCCTAAATACAAACAAATATAAAAATATATCAGCTTTTTCCACAAGATCAAAGGCCACACCTCAGCAAAACAATATAAACCATGAGCAAGTATCAGACTAATTTTCTTTTTTAAGTACCACATATTTCTAAACGGAGGTGCAGCCCTTAGAGAAAGACATTTAATTTGCATTATCTCTTAGTACTTTACATCAAAAGATTAGCATAACTACATTACAATTAACTAATATCTCATATACATTACAGTTCCAATTCATGCCAAACATTTCTTCACATCTGAATGTGTATGTCCAGTGTATTCCTAAATGACAAAGATTTCTTAAATAAAAACTATCCCCTCTGAAACTATATTCACTAAAGTGATTTTTTATGTTTTTGGACACTTTCCTTTGATGAGAACTGTTTTCCAAATATCACATTCTTAAGGCTTTTTGCAGACATTTAACCTTCTTTGGTGTCTCAAAAGCTTTCCTTTTTCCAAGAATCGTTTCTCACAAACTGTACATATGAAAGGCTTTTCACCAGTATGAATTTTCACATGTCTAGCAATATCTCCTTTTTCAAAAAAGTGCTTTCCACAAGCATCACACTGAAAACGTTTCTCACCTTTGTTTCTCTTCATATGTCTCATGTCAGTTCTGCCACCATTCAGAATTATTCCATGAATCCTCTGATGTACCAAAAAATTGCTATGGTCAGAAAATCCTTTCCCACAAATTTCACACACTCTGAGCTTTTCTCCTGTATGTATTCTTGTATGTCTCTCAAGGCTGAATCTAATATCAAATTTTCTACCACATGCATCACATTCCAAAGATTTTTCACGTTCCAAACGTTTTTCACCAGTGTGTATTCTTTGATGTATGGTCAACTTTCCTCTCTCCATAAATCCTTTCCCACATACATCACATGTGAAAGGTCTTTCTCCTGTGTGTGTTCTTTGATGTCTAACAAGAAGATACTTGTAAGAGTATATTTTCCCACAGATATCACATTTGAAACATTTTTCACCAGTGTGTGTTCTTTGATGTCTAACAAGAAGATACTTGTAAGAGTATATTTTCCCACAGATATCACATTTGAAACATTTTTCACCAGTGTGTGTCCTTTGATGTCTAAATTCACCCCCCCTTTCTGAGATTCCATTCTTGCACTTTTCATATTTGAGAGACTTTCCACCAGAGCATATACTTTGATGTCCCAATATCTTTCCTTTTCTTGAGCACCGTTTCCCACAATTTTGAGATCGAAGAAGATTGTCAGTTGAGAGTTTGCAGTTGTGTTTGACAATATGTTCACTCTGTACAATCCCTTTCTTACAAATATCACAACTACTTGTACAAAGCACATCATTTCTTGATGTACAAAGTTCCTCATCATCTGTTACACAGCCAATACTGTAAAAGAAGTTGACTGGATAATTATTAGATCATGTATATTTTAAACCTATGTAATGTAAAAAAATGATGAAATAAGTTAGGAGCATCAGGAATTGTAAACTTACAGTTACAGAAACTTAAAACAGTCATACAATGCCATCTTGCAGTACGTAACTATGTACTCACATTGATACATTGATAGATACACAGACATTTATATATGTATACAGTATATTGGACTTAATCAGTGTAGACTGTAACCCTTTATAAACCCAGCTCTCCTACAAGTTAAAAATTTGTGGGGATCATCCATAGTAGTTGATGCAGACAGAGCCAATTCTTCAGGTAACCATATAACAACGGCAGCAAAGAAATGTAGAGAGAACCAATTGTGCAGATGATCATATAATGACAGCACCATTCTGAGGATGATGAATGATGAATAGTGTTGAAATCTGAATTTAAGGATGATGAATTTAGTCAGTGACTGCCTGTGGTCTAGTGGTCAGAGTTCCTGGCTACAGATCCAGAGGTCTAGGTTCGATTTTCGGCACTACCAGATTTTCTGAGAAGTAGTGGTTCTGGAACGGAGTCCATACAGCCTCATGTGGATAATTCAGGAGTTGTAAGATTTGAGGCTTTCACGGCGGTGACTATGAAGAAAGCAGTCTTCTGGGATTTGGCACTGTGTACAAGGTGTGGCAATAAAGAACCCGGATTACTTTCATGACTCATTTCCGGCCACGTCATTGACGAAGAGGAGGGTAGGGCATTGACCCTTGGACTTCCCTCTACCGTCACACAAAGTTTCATTCACGTACATCGGTTAGTCTGGCCGCGACCATTGTTAGAAGCGGATCGTGTTTCTGAGCTCCGTCGGAATAATGCTGAGTGCTAATGCAGAACAACGTGCTAACATCAAATTCCTCACAAAACTTGGAAAATCTGCCACTGAAACTTACAATTTGTTGACAGAAGTATATGGTGATCAGTGTCTATCTCGCACGCAAGTTTTCGAGTGGTTTAAGAAGTTTATGGAGGGTAGGAAAAACGTCGGGAACGATCCAAAATCGG